ATGAGGATGGAAGGTCACCGCTGTTCTTGGCTGGTCAATATCCGGAAATAATATCCATACTGATCGATCGCGGAGCCTGCATAGCTACTAGGAACCCTAAAGATGAAAACCGAGGTGTTCTACATCACTATATTTCCCTGGATCAAATTGAAGCAGTACGACTACTGTTGAATTGCGACTACGACATTCATATTTGCGATGAGTATGGAGATACAGCTCTCCACTACGCTGCTAGAAAAGGAAATTGTGAAATAGCTTATATCCTACTTCAAGAAGGAGTCGATATAAATGCTAAAAACAAGATAGGCGAAACCGCTCTCCATATCTCAGTAGAATTTGATTCACTTGACCTAGCAAACTTGCTGATTGACTTCGGTATTGATATTAACGCAACTAATTATCTCCAATCCGAATCAACAGCATTACATATTGCTATTGAAATGGGAAATTCGAAATTGGTTTCGTTATTGGTAAAACATGCTAATGTCAATGTGAAGGATAGGCATCATCAAACACCATTACATATAGCGGCTGGATATAATTTCATAGCAGAATGTGCTCTATTGATTGAAAACGGAGGAGAAATCAATTGCAAGGACAACAAGATGTCAACCCCTTTGGAACTTGCAACAATAAACTGGAAACCAAGTTTGGTTAAGTTGTTACTGGACAGTGGCGCCTCCATTGATGGCATGTCAGCAAAATCTCATTCCTTGGCATACATCATAAAATTGTTCCCACCTAATGAAGACTATAACGAGCTGCGTAGATTCCTTTCCGTGATCAAGTTGCTCATCGATGCTGGTTGTGACCTTAACGGTGTTGAAAATGCTATGGATAAGTTGGAAAAAAATAATTCAACGCTACGAAACATGCTGTCCGAGCCGTCCAATCAACAGTTGAAAAAAAAATGGAGTATGGCTTTGGGCTCACCATCAAAATATGAAGCAAATGACGACGACGAAGATGATAATGATGAAGATGATGATGATGATGATGATGAAGAAGAAGAAGATGAAGATGAAGATGAAGATGAAGATAAAGATAAAGATGATATTCATATTGATGAAGTTGAGTACTCTCCATATCAATTGCTGGATAATTTGGTTGATGGATTAAAAAGTAGGTATTTGTTTCATATGTGCATGTTTTGCCTTTGCATATCAGGGTTCAGCTAATTTGTTCGGATTTGCTGTCACAGTCAACCTACACAATCAAATACAAGTTGATAGTATTCATCACAAGTATGGTGGTATTGGATTCCCGTCTTTTAAACGCCTTCAGTTATATGAGACCTTTGTTATCGACGAAACCGAGTATCAAAGTAGCACTGCTGGAAGACCTTTATTCTCGCAAAAGCTGGGTAGATCGCCCTTTGAAAACCGTTTTACGACAATCATTCAATCCTTGCTCGACTGCGTTTCTGCCAGAATTTTCACCTCTGCCAATTCCTTCATGTTGCAGTTGGACAGATCGTCCGACGCAAAGTGTCCAAAGTGGGCGTCTCACTTTGACAAAATGAATGGTATCATTCGAGAGCCTGGTCAATTGATTGTTCAACTTCCATCCAAGAACACTACTTTTTCTGTACCAAGGTGGCATAAAAGCAGTCATCCTTACCTTCGGTTTGTTGACGCTGTATACGTGTGCCGAAGATCATGTACTCGGATCGATCAAGAGATATTTTCAGATGTATTAGGAGGGTCAGAACAAAAGATGGCAACAGATTTACATGCCGTATTGATAGCAGGTCTCAGTATCCTCAGTATTACTGGCGGTGATACTCACATCGAGAAGTTGGTCATGGCTATTCTCGGTGTCCAATTGGATCCTTTACGAAATACTCCACCTGATAAACCATCAGCACTATGGCATGTTCGAAACCGACGTCAGTGCTCATGTAATTCACAATCTGCTCACCGACCACTATCACCAGTGGCTGCTGCAAAAGCTGCTGGAGTCAATATCTGGCGAGACCGACATCAACATATAGTAAACCGAGTATGGGACTTGCATCAAGATAAACTAGTAGATAACATCGATGCCAGAGATGTTGTATTCGTCACTCATAGATGGTGTAGTCCAGAAATTAACTATCGCGATGTGATAGAAAGGAGACAACCAAATAACCAGGCAGTCAATGTTAGTGAAATGTCAGGCAAGTTGCGGCGGACTCGCGACACTTTATTGGATCATACGCAGTACGTATGGATGGACACCATTTGCATTGACAAGTCAAATTTATCCGAGCTTGATGAAGCCATCCGCTCTATGTACAAATGGTATGCTAGCTGTGCCGCCGTCGTGCTGGATTCTGATACTACACTTGATGTATGGCGCAGCAGAGGATGGTGTCTACAAGAAGGTGCTGCAGCTGGAGTCCTTTACGGAATATCAAAAAGTGGGAAAATCGTCACCATACAAGAATTGGCTATTGAGCAAAAGCAAGACCTTTGTACTCTTGATCTTCACCTAAATTATCGACCAGGAAATGCTGCTGAGGTATTGGCAAGAATGGACGTTCGAGAAACAACACGCAAAGAAGACATGGCTTACGCTTTGGCAGGAATATTTTCCGTCCACTTGACACTAGCATATGGCGAAGGATTCAAATCTCGTGAACGACTACTTCGAGAGCTAGCTATCCAGAAAGGCGATCTGTCATTCTTAAGCTTCCACACCACTCCAACGATACCTCATGATTATTTACCAGCTATTGGTCAAACCAATTATTTGATTGCAAAGTGTTCAAGAGCTTCAGCTCCAGTTACTGTCAGTCACTTTGGCATGTGTTTTGAGGTCCAGCTTGTCAAGGGAGACGACGCAAGGCAGTTACTACAAAAATTAAGTGGTTGGACAAAATTGAGCTTCGCGAAAACTCGATTTTTAGGGGCAGAAGAGCTTATCAAGGCGGGAAAACAGTATGAGTATCAAACTGCGTCATCAATAGAGATCGCTATCGTTCATGATATCAGGTCTCTCATTTTGGTCCAAGTATACGGCCAGGATAGACAGACAGGCGGAGGAAAACCAATTAAACTTTGCTACCGGCTCCAGTGCTGCCAAATAGAAGAAACTGAGTTTGACAGGCTGTTCACCTGGAATGTTGATAAAGCGGAAAAGGCAGCAGCACCTGAGGAAGTCAAGCACGATGGTGGTAGCAAACTTGAGGGCTTAAATAAAGATGACTCCAATGCCAATGTCATTTTTGAGCGAATCTGGTTAGGTGATAAGCCCGATAGCTCTGAACTGAACGACTTTGGAAGCGAGAGCACAAGACACCATGAAAGAAGTCGCCAATAGATGCTGTAAAGCATATGCTTTGACTCTAGAAGCTGTACAACTGAATAAATTGCGCTGCAACATCTTATTAGAAATATAGCTTTTATTTCCAAATCAATAATTACAAGCATCTCTTGCCGACTTACATTATTTTCCCGTTGGTTTATACTACTTCTGATCACCGGCGATTGAAAAACTTACCATCCTGCCCTTTCAAAATCACTGAAATTTGTAGTGTTTTAGACCAAGTCTCAACATACACACGTATTTTGCGTCGTTGCATTGACTCCTCCATAAGCCCCTGCGAGGCATGCCAAAGTCACATTAAACTGTTATCCACTTACGTTTCTACACTTGAGTTTTGGCTGAGCCAGAGTAGGTAAAGCATATAAGGCACTGTCAACAGACGCTAATTTGATCCATCGGTAATACCTAGTTATTGTCAAATGGAATCTTCTAAATAATGAATACAGGTTGAGATCACAGACCGAAAGCCTTAGAGACAAAAAAAAGCCGGTTTGAGGGAGAAAGATGGAGGGAGAAAGATAAATTGGCAAAAAAAAAAAAAAAAAATTGATTGACAGGAAAAAATTTGCTAACAGTGCAAAAGGCAAAAACTCAGATTCCACTGTTTTCCAGCAGATACTGGGATTGGTCATACAGAATAGACCATTTAGTGGAGGCATCTTCATTGAATCATCGAGGTTGATCGACTGTAAGAGGAGTTGTACAGGCAAACGAGCGGGTCGCTACCAGACACAAGCTTCTACTTGAAAACTTTTTTGCAACTGCGATGTTGTTTGTTTCATGTCCGAAGAAGAGTGTCAAGTCCGAAATTGTCATATGTACGACATGTTGCGTAAACTTTAATAATACAAAATACCTCTTTGTATATTGGAACCATCAACAAACTGGTATTGAACACTTTCTTTAGTTTTCAATAGAGATAGATGCAGCTATTGTCATGTAGAATGTCATCGGGTGAAGAGGTAGCAAGAAAAAGCAGTCTCGATCTTCTCCGACAAGCTGCATTTTATTTTTTATATTTTTGTTCTGCCGATGTGACCCCCGCCTGGCTAAATACTTTGCTTAAGCTGACAATTACAATTACAGTTATTTTTAAGTCATATGAAGCGGTTATACTTTTAGAGATTCACTGTTTGAAATTGTGATTTGTTTGTCTAATTACAATGTGTGAGTCATTAAACCGAACACCCAAATATAAAATCTAGAACTTTTCATTTTTAAAGCATACAGTTAAAGTAAGTTCAAGCTTTCCTATATCTATCTACTAGAATATACTACATAGTACATTAAACCAAGCCCATGACAAAAAAAAATGCAGAAATGTAATTATAAGAGTGGGTCAGAAACTTGTCAAAATATTTATAAGCAATAGAGATGTAAACGAAGTAACTAGCCAATTTTAAGGACTACTCAATTCTTCTTTTATTTCCTTTAAACCCAAAATTATTTATGTAATCGTTGAGTTGGAGATAGTGTTTTTTGTTTCTTTTGATTTGAAGATGATGTTGTAACAAGATTAATTGTTAGAGTTATAGCTGAAATAATCGATTTTTATTATTCTGCAACCTGACACACAATAATGCAAAGATAAAGTATAAAGTTTTTTATTTATATATAATACGATAATCAGCTTCAATTGTATTTTTCTTTCGTTACTGAGATATTGCATCGAAGACGTGCATCTAAGTAGTATTGCCACCAAAATATTGGTCCAAGTACGGGATGGAGTGCAGATTTCCAATTGTGACTGAAGTTGGTTTGCTAGAAAGAATGTCAGATGCCACCTAAGTGTAAGATAAGGGCCTTAGAATCTCATTGCTTCTGCATTTATCTCATCATGCTATACTTTTTGTACCTTGTGCAGGTCTTGCTTTTGAACGTTGTCGATAGAACCCAAAATATCTTCAAAGTTACCGGTGTTCCCATTCAGTATCTTCAAAGAATGTTAGACAAAAAATATAATTTTAAGAAAGACCTCGACAGCGAGAAAGTATTTAATCGTACTCACACTAAACCCAACAAAATCCATTGAGTCCAGTCGACTCTGTGCAATGTTCATGAAATTCATCTTTGCAATGTTTTTTGCTCTTTGCATCTCATCATCAGTGATGTGGGTTTTGAGTGTAGCCAAGGCATCCATAGTCAATTTTACAGCTTTACCCATGTCATGGTTGGGGGTATTGAGCTGTAACCCGAATAAGCCAATGTCAGAGTAACCAATACTGAATGAGGTAATTTCGCTCTCATTCGAAATTTGAGACTTTACAGCAGCAAGCTTGCATTGCTCAGTTGTCCACTTCAGATGATTCCCCCCTCCTAGAACCTCCTGCAGTACTTTGGATGCATAGTACGCACTTGAGCCACTCGAAAAACCCCGAAAAGCCATGGTGCAGTGGGCATTTTGATTGGTGTTCATGGTACGTACATCACCTCCATAATAAGTGGAAGGATGCTTGATTTGCTCTGGGTCATTCAAGTCGAAGTAGAGGTGGACATATCCTAACAGCGCTTTGTGATCTACTCCTCTGCCCACCACCACAATATTTGAACTTGTGAAAATAGTCTTTGCAAACATGCGCACCTTGACGTGATCTACTAGGTCTTGATGAGAGGAAAACAACGGATTTCCAAGACCATTCCGGAAAGCAAGCTGATGTGCCTTTTCTAATCCTTCGACGTTGATGTGCCGCTTAGCATCTTGAGTCTGCCACTTTGTTCTCTCATGGACTTGCGGAAACTCGTGAGGCTCATATGTTTGCCTACATATGACATCGGAAAGTATTTCGGAAAAGTAATCTCTAGAAGGTGATCGTAATTTGTCAATTTCAAGTTTACATTACAAGTGTTGTTTTCGGTAAATTGTTAATACGAAATTTACGCACTCATCGCCTTTGAGAAATTGGACCTGAGCAGACAAATACTCGTGAGTAAGTGTTCGAGATAAAATAGCGCTAGTCAGTTCTGCCTCTCGGACTATTCGCAAAGCTTTTCTTTTCTGATTGTTCTGCAGAGGAGCTCGTTTAGCGATTATGCAGTTGCCAATTCGCAACCAAAATATCTTACCATGAATGTATAGTTCTTCAGAAAATGAGCCGCTCCGGCAGTACCCTCAGTCTCGTATCTTGGGCCTCCACCAACGATAACAGACAGCCCCGCAGTCAAACCTGGTTCTGGGTACGTGGCAACTGTGACCCCTGCCAGGGTCCGACTGATGTGCAGTGACCGTGAACGCAACGGCACAGGAACAAGAGAGTGGTAAGCCAATGGTTTGAATAATTGATTCATAGAGAAGAGGAAGAGAATATGTGATGAATGATGACCACTTCAGCGTGAAAATATATTTGCATTGCATAAACCACGTTGAACCGGTTTTTTCAAATCATTCAACGAATTTTTTTTTTTAAATTGATGGAGTTTGAGTCTCAGTATTTTTTGTCATAAAAACAGGAAAAAAAAAGCGTGCACTAGAAAAGGTAGAGCGACTAAAAGCGCGTCCACGCGCACGCTAGTTCCCTTTGCCTTACACCATCGATGAGCATCAAAAAGAGTGGTGTTGACGAAAAAGTCAAAGTCGTTTGCAGGGTTCGGCCATTTCTTGACCATGAAGCTCCTGACGATTCCGTTGCGGTAGAAGGAAGCGAAATTAAGATCACCAATCAACGCAACACGAACGAAATAGTGTCCTTTCGGTAACTTGGTTCCAGCATGCTTGAATCCAGTAATGCAATTAGCAAATATTAATACGTAAGATTGCTAGATTCTCGTCGTGCCATGGGCCAGAGGCGAAACAAGTAGATATATATGAGCAGGACGTCCAACCTATGATCGGCAAGGTGTTTTCAGGCATGGTATGTAATTCTATATGACGTAGGGACAAGGGCAATGATTTAATAGCCATATCCCTTGTATTCAACAGGACTCGACCATATTTGCCTACGGTGTAACAGGATCAGGTACAGTGTCGGGTTGATAAAGAAGTGGGCAGCTGCGAATGGTACCTGACGTGTATCGTTTTGGTAGGTAAAACCCACACAATGCAAGGTACAGAAGACGAGCCAGGCATTATACCTAGAGTGGCGCAATATCTTTTTCAACGGCGATTGGATTACCCAAAGCACACAGTGAAGGTCCACGTCTCGTACATGGAGATTTACAAAGAGCTGGTTTACGATTTACTGATCCCACGGGAAGGGGTAGGTGGAATTCGCAGCTCTTTTATATGATTACTCTCCGTGCTAATCGCTTGGTCAATTTCAGCAAGGTGCAGGCTTGTCCATAAGGGAAGACTCCTCTCGCAATATCTTTGTTGCAAATCTGACAGATGTGAGTGCGCTGACCTATGGACTGGATCATATTAGCTGCCCACCATCCCTTTGCTAACACGCGCCAATAGAGAGAAATCAATTCACTGGAAGAATTTGACCACATATACAAGTAGGTGTCTTAAAAGACATTGTTTTCATGATTGTTATGTTTCGAAGATCATTTATCCATCGTATTACAGTAATGCCTGTAAAAATAGATCAACGGCAAGCACCAAAATGAATGTCTCCTCCAGTCGATCACATGCAATCTTGTCATTCCAAGTGACGGTGGCCATGGACAACGATGAGCCACAGAAGGATGATGATAGCGATACAGAACAATATGCCTTGTCTGGTAAAATCAACCTTATTGATCTTGCTGGCTCCGAAGACAATCGAAGGACGGATAATGGAAAAGAGAGGTTGGCTGAAAGTGGAGCGATCAACAAGAGTTTATTTGTACTCGGTCAAGTTGTGGAGTCCATCAACGCAGCATCTGTACGTATACAATTGGTGTTGGACAGTGTCGATATCGGAGAAAATGCTAACCTATTGCACTTGCCAGTCTCGCATCCCCTTTCGAGATTCTAAAATGACTCGAATCCTTCAAGTATGTATCATTCAACTTCTCATTCGCAAAAGCGTCAGTATTAATCGTATAGTTTAGCCTTCTCTCGGAGGTAAAGCACAGGGCATGATGATAGTCAATATTGCCCCCGGCCAAAGTTATTTTATGGATAGCTACAAGTGAGTCATGGTTGGAATGTGAATGCATTGGTCAGTCGCCAGTTTCCTCAACATCTATTTCGTCGTCTAGTTCGCTTAATTTTGCAACAAAGTCCAAGACAATAGAAAACGCACCCACTGTAAACACCATTTCACAAGATGAGCCATCCATGTCATCAGCGCTCTCGGATACGCCTAAACTTGGTCAGGCATTGCGAGTGGCAGTACTTCGCGGGAAAAAGCGGACAAGAAAGCGAATGTCGGATTCTGCAGTGGATGGATCAGCCAAAAGACGTTTATATGATCCATTTAGGTGGACGGGTTCTCAAAGCGGGAGTCTCAGAGAGCGAGAGAATGATGGATACGACGACACGGAGCGAACAAATTACTATAACCGCATATTGAAGCCATGGAAGCGGTTTGCCGCTGGGAACTATGATCCATGGCCACGATTTAAGCTGAAGGATGAGCAAGTGGAAGCCCACTTGGAATCACGCGTGGCTGTACTGGTTGCCGAAAAGGTGCAAGACCTCCAGAAATCGAACACAGAATTAAAGTATGTATGGTATAAGGAGAGCGTTGTACCAAGACGCCGTCGGTATAGCTATGATCTTCAATGCTGAACAAACTTTCTCTCTTCCAGCACTCAACTAGAGGAGCAAAAACAGCTTACGGCAAACATATTGGAACGTATGCAAGCGCTTGAAGCGAGGCTGTAAGTCTAACACGTCTGTTGCTTTTGCTCAATGGTCATGACCTCAATCGCTCTTAACACCAGCGTAACAACGCCTTCCCTTTCCTTTTTTCAGTGGTGAAAACGCAAGCAACCCTGACACGATACAACACCAATGACCTTGAAACATTTACACACTGTAGATTTTTATTTATACCAAACCAATACACCTTATCACTTAATTTTGTACAATTCATCATCTTTTGCATGCAACAATTTTGTCATACGCTGGAGTCGCCTATGAGTTTATCCGTGCCTTACCTAACCTATTTTAGCTCAAGGTTGATCCGTAGCGTTTAGGCAGGCAGTTTTTTCTTTTTCTCATCCTGAAAAATTCTCATAAACAAAAACCATGCATTATAAAAAGACTGGCGAGAAGATGATTCCAGCATCCACCTGGATAGGACAAAGAGACTTGACCGGGTACACCATAGTGGTTACAGGGTAAGTGTAGTCGGCGGTTTAGAAGCAATGGCCATCCATCTGACACCAACACGGCACTTTACAGAGCCAACTCAGGACTTGGGTTCATCACATCGTGCGTGTTTGCCTGCTTGGGAGCCAATGTTCATATTGGAGTACGTACCAAGACTAAAGGAGATGAGACAATACAACAAATCGTAGAATACGTCAATGAGCACGAACCTGGCCGGGCTTTGGATGTTCAGAAACGACTTTTTGCTCATTATGTGGAGATGTCTGACTTTGCATCGGTTCGAGCGTTCTGCCAAAGTTTCCAACAGCCGATCGATATATTGGTCAACAATGCCGGTTTACAAGCCAACGAGAAGAAAACGACAAAAGATGGGTATGAAATGACATGGCAAGTCAACTACCTCAGCTCGACGTTTCTTACTACCAAACTGCTGTTGCCTCTTCTACAGCAAGCAGGGAAGGATCGGGGCAAGAGGGCCAAAGTGATCAATATAACATCGGGGATGCACAAAATGGTAAAAGACCTAGACCTCGAAGATATTAATTTCGATAAGAAAGAGTACGATCATACCGAAGGTAAGACGACATGACGTTTTTTTCCGATGGCGGGAATTGCATTTTGATTGGATCGATTTTGATTTTGCTTTCCAGCATACACAAAATCCAAATTGGCGCAAATTCTCAACGTTGAATATTATACGCAAGTTGAATTGCCACCTTCCGAATCACCTACTTCTCCCCTGTTTTATGGCATTATTCCCGGCCCTGTGAAGACAAGTAAGGGTTCCTTTATTTGATTATCTTAACCCATTCACCTCCTGAACGTCACCTGACTCCTTCTCCTCTATTTTCGCCCACCACCTTTCCCTCCATAGACATTTATCGACAGGAGAACGGGTTTGAACAGCCACCATGGGATGGTTTTGCCGACCGGCCCTCTCCAGATGAAGCGGCATATCCTATTTTTGTTTGTGCTTTGGAGGATTATGCGGCACCAGGCTCTCTTCTTGCTGTTCCGGATGGTAGAGAAGATACTAAGAGCGATCTAGCGCAAGATATGGATCTTGCCAAAAGTCTATGGAATTATTCCATAGATGCAACCGGATAAATGGAGAAGATAGGTTGTACGCCCCCGCACACCTGGTTATGTTTTGTAATCTACCTAGTGAGCTTAGTTTCAAGGTTCAAAAAGTAAACATGGAGGTGGCAAAATTTCATTCCTATTATTCCCCTTCATAGCGAAGGATCTTTTTGGGTTTGGCTGGTATGAAAAATCAAGTGATGGCAGTGTTTTGCCCAGTGAAGAAAACAATGTAACGCATGTCTTTCATGCAAATGACGACGGAGCGATGGAAAATTTTCAAAGATACGCGTATGCAGTCATTGTAACGAAGGTGTGTTTGTTTGCCCTTTATGCCACACCAGTAAACATTATTTTTAGAATACTCTGAAGTGTGTCGCTGTATAAACCAATTCGATGTAAGCAAGCGGAACTTTTGTTCACACTATTTCTTACTATTCACATCTCTGAAGCGCGAGGTTGTATGCGATATAGGAGTCGGTGAAGTTGGTAAACAGCCAGGGAAAGCTGTTATATACAAGTGAGTAAGGCGAAGGCAACAAATTTGGGAACAAGCCTGCAAGCCGAGGTATTCCAGATCAGGAACACAAAAAAGACCTAAGTCTGATACATATTCCCCTCATGCTAGAAATTCTGGTGTTAGGCCTTCACTCCTTTGTCTGTCTTCTTTCAACAAGTTCAATTGTATAGTATCGTATTATAGGCCCCATACTGCAACTCTCCATGGCTACCACGGCTATAGACTATTATCGAGACACCAACGTAATGATAGCAGATGATAACCGTAGAATATCGCAACAGTCCATACCTTCGCTGTCGACCACTTCCACCGACACTTCCACCTCGATCGATACTTCAAGACCAAAGAGTGCTGGTCCACCTCGAGTAGACCGTAGACATACAAGGTCACCTTCACCATCAGGAAGTGGAGGAGGGTATTTATACCAAACCAATGATTTCCAGCCATGGCCTATGTACCAACAACAGTACAGAGGCTATTATTCTCCATTTTATCCTCACATGTACGGAGTCGCTCCTCAACCACTAATTAATTTTCAAGATCCCTCAATGCAGCCTATGCAGTACAAGCCTACATCCTCTCCTAAGCTCAAGAAATGTTACATGTATGAACCTATTATGCCAGTACCTCTTGCTGCGGTAACAATGGAAGCCAACTCCATGCCAGAAGATTATGACTATGATGACAATATTCCATTGGCTTACTTTAAACGCATGGGAAGTGGTGGTGTAACAAACAAACCCCATACTACCAAAAAGAAAGGCACGTCACCAGCATTATCGAGTAGCAGCAGTAGTCCAACCTTGTCAAGTACTACAGAGGTGAGGCCAGGACCTATAAGCCGCTCTCGCACGGCCCAAGAGATGAAGACAGAACCGCCTATCAAAAAATTGGCACGGTCATACACCACAACGACTGCTCAGCAAAGTCGACCTCCCGTGAAGACTACTGAGAAACTTCCTAAAAAACAACGCCCCAAACCCAGCCCTCCTGCTTCACCCAAATCAAAAGAACTTAAATCTTCCAACAACGAGAAAAGTGATTCTGGCAGTAATAGTAGCATTTCATCTCCGAAGTGGGTCAGCCGTTTCCAAGCTGGTATGGCCCGAATTAGATTGAAGTCCGTGAAATCAATGTAAAGAAAAACCAAAAAAAACAACCGTACAAGGGCCAAGAAAGTATCGTATGATTCTACGAGTTTCATTTTTTATTATCGAAAGACGCCAAAAAACTATGCACTTTCAAAATACATACATAAATTTAGAAAAAAATCGAATTGTTGGTGTTGCGGTAGACTCACAAATAGGTTTGGGATCATTGTAAGAAATTTTTTTCGGTTCCTTACTGACGGTTGTCGGAGGTAGGAACGCTTTTGAAAAAATTTCCCCTCAGCTTATTAGCGAAAAACAAAGAACAAAAAAGAGAGAGTCATAATGGGCCAAGCTCTATCAGGCAAAGGACCTTTCAGGTTCCGAATGCAGCAGCAGGTCTGTGCTTCCACCTGTCAAGGTAGCATAAAAGCTCAGTCATAGACGGCCTGGACCGCTTCGGTTATGCAAATAGATACAGGCTAAAAGAAGTTTTGTAATTGAACAAGCGTCGCAGCTTGGGTCTCATAAACACACTACAGAGTTCTTTAAAAGTCCATAGTTTGACCACTCTGAGGTCGAAGCGTGATCAAGCCGGAGATATTTGGACACTCTGACATCGACTGCCTCATTTGTACTCTCGACAACCTCTCTAAAAATATTACAGGGTGGGTGGGTCAAAAAAATTATAAAGTTTTTTTTTTTTTTTTTTTCTTCTGTTCGGCCGCTTACTCGTTCTTCCATTTCGATTGACTGTTCGTGAAAACTGTATTTCAAGCCAGACACTTTCGGCTTTTTACTTCAGTTTTGCTTCTTCTTCGGTGTCCCTCGATCATGTCGGCCGTAGACGATTTACGTCACTTACCTTCGCACACAGAAAACGATAGTAACAACCTTGGACGGAGGTCCGCAAAGACGCACATTAAATCATCATCATGGCCTCATAACCGTATTCCTCAAGATACCTATGGTCTGAGAAATGCCGTGCCTCAGAGGCAAGCTCGCCATGAGCGAACGTTTTCCGACAGTTACAGACCACTGTCACCCGCTCCCATCATTCCTCGGCCTCACTCTTCACCGCGAGCATCAGCCCATCTATTGTCAGCGGCTATACCAAACGGCGGCGCCATGCGATCCAGGCACGAGAAATCACTTTTGCATGACCTTTTGCCACCTACACCGGATGTGGCCAAGGAGCGAGAGAAATGGATATACCAGCGTCAACGAGCGCATCGTCAAGTTAGTTTCAATGATACGGTTGTCATCATATCCGATGGAACGGGCGCGGAGACGCAAAAAATCTTGTTACAACAACAAGACATGGTCACTCAGACCACCACCCGACGGCCACAATCTCCGCCTCCAAAACATATCCCTTTTAGAGCGCCTACCATAGCCCCAAGCTCAGTAGCAGCTTACGATGATTCTCAGTTAGCCATGGATTTGGCTGAAGACTTGCCAGCCGAGACGGGGTTTTTCTCAAAGGTTTTCACAAAAGTAGGCAAACGCTTCATGTGATATCCCGCTTTTGCAACACACGAAAGCATTGTATAAATTACTGCAGCCGAACCCTGCGTTAGCGTGTAATCCGCTTAATCTGTATATACTGCCTGATCTCTCTTGTAATTATCATATTACTCGCTTGTTTTTTTTTTTATATAATATACCTTTTATAAATACAAGAGAACACTAAGGAAATTTTAGTTTTTATCTTCTGTGATCAATACCCCATAGTAATGTAATTGAAGTGTTTGGTAATAGTGTCACCACATGACTATTTCCTTTACAGTCAAGCACAGGAACAACTGGATGACTTTCGAAGTTGTACTGTGGAGGGTGAAATATCCATGTATGGACTATCTTGTCATCAACACGGGCCAGTTGTAAGACGCGGCTGACTGAGGAAAACGAGACAAGGCTTATTTGGACATCAACGGACCGAGCTGATGTTTTGCCATTCAGATAAGCATATCGCCTGCCTGCTCACCTCGGCCGTCCAGCTTCTCGCTCAAGTCTTTTGATTTTTCCAAGAGAGCAGTTGTCTGCGCTCTTTCAAAAAATTTTCGGGTCACTCAGTATGTTCGTCAATTTTTTATAGAGTTGACATTGCAGATCTCTATTCAAATCGTGCAATGGGAAAGAAAGGATCAGCTGAATACAGCTCGCAGAATCGATCGCGAGGCGCTTCAAAGGCAAGAGGAAAGGGTAGAAAGGATAATCACAGAAGGTAGCTGTTGCTCTCGATTGCGGCACACCCCGCTTTTTTTTATTTTATTCATTCCCTCATGGTTTCTCTTCAGTCATACTCGAGAAGTGCACAATGAAGACCAAGGCTCCGGAGAAGAGACAGGTAAGGCAGCACCATGTCTCCAGAAACATAAAACAAGCCGTATAGGCTAATGCATAGACGTTTAGGCTCGAATATTCCTATGCCTGTAGCCATGTGGGTAAGTACACCATCCCGCTTCAGAAGACGAACTGCTTCCGTCGTCTGACCAAGTTGCCATGTTTCAGGATTTCAAACATTGTGATCCAAAGAGATGCTCGGGTGTGAAACTGGCTAGACACAATATGCTCAAAACCCTCAAGGTGACGCAAAAATTCAGAGGCATTGTTGCAAGGTAAATGTGGTTTCATCACTACGAAAGGGCGGTTTGATGCAGTTGGACTCAATTTTCGCTCGTAGTCCTGTAGGAGAGAAGGCGGTGTCGCCTGCAGATCGACATATAGTGGAGCAATTCGGCGTAGCAGTGGTGGACTGCTCATGGGCGAAAATTGATGAAGTGCCATTTTCTCGTATCAAGTCTCCTGGCGACCGATTACGTGAGTACTCTCTATCATGATTTACAAAGGGTAATTACACGCTTGGTTGCTGATTATTGAATGGCGGTATATAGTCCCCTACCTGGTTGCTACTAATCCAGTCAACTATGGTAAGCCATGGAAGCTGAACTGTGCTGAAGCCCTTGCAGCCTGCTTCTACATTACAGGTAAGCTGAGTGATTAAACGTGTCGCTGTCACGGAAAGATAGGTGGTGTGGTGCCAACATACAAATTATTTTAGGGTTTCCTGAACACGGCGAGGAATTACTCTCAAAATTCAAATGGGGTCATGCTTTCCGCAAAGTCAATGGGTAAGTTATGTATATTTGGTGAGCGTAAGAAACAATAAGACTGTAGCTGACACACCATATCCACAGCCATTTATTGGCCAAGTATGCGAAATGCCAGGATTCAGCAGACGTCGTCAGAGTGCAAAATGAATGGTTGGAGCAGATTGCAAATGAACATAAAGTTGCTCGGGAAGTGAATGAAGGTAAATTTTCATTTTGACCCATAGAATCCATGTCAAGCATGAGCTAATGGACTATATCAACTTAGATGACGACGATGATTTGTTGGTTGCAAACACAAATCATTCTGGCGCTTACGGTGGCTATAGCGACGATGACGAGACATCCGAAGAAGAAGAGGAAGAAGAAGATGAGGACAGCGAAGAAGCAGACGATGAAGAAGAGGAGGAGGAGGACGGCGACGATGAAGACGATGAATTACGAGGAACTGTTGACAAACTGGGCAATACCCACATCTAACCCACTACTATCTCATGGCATTCAACTCTTTTTGCTTCTCTGATCACTCCAAAACACAATTTACATGCGCAGTGTACATAGAATATGGATTTGCTTGTGGTTTCATTGTACCTTTGAGATACAAGCTGTAAAGATATATACAATGTATTTTTTTTTCTTTCTGTTTCTGAGTCATTCACAGAATCGACTAGACTATAAATTTACTGATAAAGACATCTATCGAACGAAGTAAGCAGAAAACCCAGCGCTTGACCTACTGGGTACTCGTACGCTTCTTCTTATAGTCGGATATGGCTGATTTGATAGCATCTTCTGCAAGCACTAAAAGAAAAAAAAATTAACAATCATCTCGAGCTATACATCTCCGTAGATCGTGGTACATACTGGAACAGTGGAGTTTGACGGGGGGTAAACTGAGCTCTTTAGCAATGGTAGTGTTTTTGACGTTGCCAGCTTCGTCGAGCGTCATGCCGTTGACAAGTTCGGACATGTAGGAGCTGCTGGCAATGGCTGAGCCACAGCCGAAGGTCTTGAACTTGACGTCGGTGATGGTTCCCGACACTTCGTCGACTTTAATTTGTAGCTTCATGACATCGCCGCATGCTGGAGCTCCAACCAGTCCAGTGCCAACAGATTTATCTTTCTTATCGAGTGTTCCGACGTTTCTCGGTCGTTCATAATGATCAATCACCTGGATAAAAAGGGGTCAATATGCGTACAAATGGGTTGTGTGTGACACAAAGTAGTAGCAATGGTTGCACACCTTTTGATGATAAGGTCGAACAGCGGCGAGAGATGGGGTGAAAGTACGCTTGATAGGTGAGTTTTTCAGTAGAGTTGATCGCAACATATTTTATTCGTGGTTTGAGTTGAGAAAAGAGATTACAGTGGGGAGAACGTTTGGATTCGTTTTTTAATGCTTTAACTTGATTAGCCTATGACGTTTAAAAAGTAGTCACACTTCAACTATGCCTAAAGTTAAATGCTGGGTCTGGTCGATTACTCAACACCGTTTCGATCTCCGCCATCACTTCATCCGTCAGCAAATGGACATAGCGAATAGCTTGGACATTTTCCTCGACCTGCGAGGGCTTGGATGCTCCTGTTATGACGGAGGAAACTCTAGGATTTTTCAAGCACCATGCTATGGAAAGTTGTGCCGGCGTTATCTTGAGTTTTTGTGCAATCCTCTGCAAATAAAAATAAAAGCGCCGCAAAATGAGGCCATGTTACCATTGATGTCGCAACGGATCTTCCTTTTCTCCTATGTTACTTACCACTAGCATTTTAACTTTTTCAACTTTTCGTCTTCCTTCTTCGCTAAAGAATCCAGCTCGAAGACGGTTCATTACTGGATGGTCTTGGATGGCTAATCGAGCATTTGGTGGTATAGTCCCATTATTGTATTTGCCAGTTAAAACGCCTACACGTTTGAGGGGGGGGGGAGAGCATGGTGAGACAAGGGTAAATAAAAAGCACTTTGTAAATTGCAGTGTGTCATACCGGAAGCAAGCGGCGACCAGGTTGTGATGCCCAGCTTATGAATGTCATAGAGAGGTAAGTATTCTTTTTCCACTCTGTCGCGGTGGAACATGTTATATTGAGGTTGCTAAGGTAATGGGTCGGGCCAAAGCGAAATAGACAATCAGTATAGTTTATCGCCTGCATTGAAAAGGTCTCTCCCAAATGCTTACCTCAACAATAGGCTCAATCAAGCCAAGTCGCTTGGCAACTGCGATAGCCTCCGTCACTAAATATGCAGGCCATTCACTGGTTCCCCAGTAGAGGGCCATGCCTTTATCGATGCACCATGAGAATGCACGTACTGTCTCCTCCATGGGGGTATCAATGTCTGGTCTCTGGGCATAGACAATGTCGACATAATCCAGCTGAAGACGATTGAGTGAGGCGGATAAACCTTCGATGATATGCTTTCGCGATAGGCCACGGTCATTTGGACCTTTTCCTCCCCAAAAGATTTTGGTTGAAATTACAAAATCAGACCGCTTCCAATTGTGTTTTCGAATCGCCAAGCCCATATCAATTTCGGCTTGGCCACCTAGTAATGCCAAGATATGTGAGTTTCTGAGCTGCCTTTTGAGCGGATAGAAGGGACGCATCCACGTGCAGCATGCTCATTTGCACCTTGCTGGGGAAAGTTTTATCCTGTTTGACCTACCTGAATGAGATTCAGCCACATCGAAGAAATTTATACCATGTTCAAAGGCAACACGCATACAATCAGCAGCCGTAGCTATAGATAGAGTAGTACCATTAGTAACAGCAGTAGTGTTCATTGCGTCAGTTATCAAGATTGTGCGCAAGTTTTCAAAAAAAAAAAAAAAAGTTTTTTACACAACGTACCAGCATCAATTTGACCGGCTATTTCGCGACGATGCAAATGTTTATATTGGATTAGTGGGAGTCAAGTTTATAGTCTGTTTTGCGTTTATAATCCTACCAAAGGTAACCCAAGATCCGAGCCCAATCGCGCTGACCTGAAGAAACGCACAACATGAGATTTTGCATCGATCAAGAAAAAGCGGGCATTTTCATTCCATGTCGGAAGTCGAGTTTATTGTCCCGAAAATGCTTTACCTTGAGTCCAGAATTGCCTAGATATCTATATTCCATCAAATGTGGGTGGTGATTATTTGAAGGCAGAGATTTCAGAGAAAGATGAAGAAGCAAACTGAAAGACGGCAGAGAATATAGGCTCTGTGATTTGCCGAATAGCCTTTTTAGGCGCCACAACCTCATTCAGAGTCAGAAGGCGAGAGTCCCCCCTTCCCAGAAACCCAGGTAAAGTTTTGAAACGGACAAAAATTTTAGCGTCGCTTGCTTGCTTGGTGACACCGTTGCACATCATTTCTTTTCTCTATTACTTCTTTCCTAATGTTGTTCATTTCCCATTGCTGTAGATGGTGACTTCATAATCACTAGCCATTTATTTACTGCGCAGTGTTTAGCTTGGCCATGGTCTTCGAAGTCACGGTAACGCCGTAAGAAACACCCACATTGAATTCAGAACACGAACCATCTCAGATGGCAACCAAGAAATATATCGTCAATTAATCGCAATATTTCTTCCGATTCCCATGTACGCAATTTACCATTTGCATATAACTAACGCCCTTTCAAGCTATATATACCTCTGTAGCTATTTTTTCTTTTTCTTGGCTCAGCAACTCAGGCTCGCCTGCCACTTACAATGTGGCTGCTCGCCCATAACCAATACTTTTCGCAGGTGTCGCCAAGTCAAGCCTTGTTACCAACACTTTCAGTGTGGCTTCCGTGTTACGCTTCGAACAATTTCAAACGGTATCTTCCCAATGCAGTCTTCACCAATATCTGATGCCTTTTGCCAAAGTCGGTAATCCCCGCTTATTTCTGCTGGCAACTTCCAATCTGTTCCATCACTTCTCTGCTTTCCATAGGTGGCTTAGAAATATTTGCTCGTCCTGAAGAGAAACATAGGTTGCCATGCACTGCTTTGGCAAACACTGCCCTCTTTTTCACCTCACAATCAGAGTTTCACTGAGCCCTTGCAAGCGTGACTCATGATGATCGCCACAACTATAGCGCGAGCAACGATAGCACGCTATGTGGTTACAGCAGCGGGTAAACTGTACCTCTCCAAAACGTTTTTGTTTCGCTCCTGCAACGCAAGAGCATACAAAAGAGTATGCATCACTTGTTGAGTGAGAAGAGATGATTCGACCTCTACCGACATATTATGGGAAGAAGACGTCTTTCACGCTGTTACAACGGATGGTGGACTTGCTGGATATCCCATTCATAATTTTATTTGCATCGAGATTACTAGAACTCCGTCGCCGACCGTTCTGGAAGCAATTTCAAAGGCCGTAGAGGCAGATCATGCGGACGGAGCAGGGACGAACAGTAAAAAAATGACAGCCATTGAAAAGTTTATAGGACCCTGTGACATCGCAAAAACCGGTGTTCATGCTATGGAGCCACAGAAACTATCTTCATCCCTCACAATCTTTGGCTTGCGGCATTCATGGTAACGTAACAAGCAAGATACAGACTCCGAGGTAAGATTTGGATCAAAGGCAGAAACATGATTCACCGACGTTCCTTCAAGAAGGGCCTGGAATGTCTGGTGTTACATGTCCCTAAATCCATGTCAATGGCAAGGCTGATTCTTTCTGAATGTGTGGAGCCTTTATGTCTGAAGATCAAGCGAAAGGATAATGCTAATGCATGATAGTTAAAGACTGAAAGGTGTCTGTCCGTTGTTCCTATAGCGATTAAACGAACAAACAATATATTGGTTGTCTTGGGGTTGGCCATCCAGTTCGCATAGGCTATTGTCATCGGGATGTGTGGTTGAGTTACGGATTTGGAAAAAGAAGTCTGTATTATGATCGATACGAATAAATGGTAACAATTTCCAGAAGAGTATGATCATCAACGGAGATAACGGGATTTAATGCAGTTAGTTATATTATTTATTCAGCCGTAAAATACGAAGAAGAATTTGGACAATTTTTTACAGCTGGGTATCGATCTATAATGACTATGGGCTACATCTGGTTGAGATTTACTACAGTAACCAATCAGAACTTCTGTCCAACAATCTCTTCGCTCAATGCCCACAGCTTGGCAGCCTCTGTATCATCTTTGGCATATGGCTTAGCTTGATCCATAGCAATCTGGCAATCCTCCATATAAGATCCAGACTCCGAAGCAATGTTTGGGTCAAAGGCAGCAACAATATGAGTTGCAGTACCTGCACCAAGAGACTTGAAATCCGCTTCGCTGACTTGAAGTACATTACCTTCGTAATCCTTTATTGGTACAGAGAACTCGGCCATATCAACATCACGAGCAAGATTAGTGAAGATCACACCGGGATGAGGACTGAAGGCAGTAAGCCCTGCGCTCTTGTAGCGCTTGGTCAATTCACGAGAAAACAGAATATTGGCAGTTTTAGATTGACCATATGCCCACCACTTGTTGTAGGCTTTACCGTTGTCAAAAAATGGGTCGTCGAAGTGGATGGGAGATAAAGTGTGACCGTTGCTGGAAACGTTGACAATGCGTGGCGCACCAGTCTTGGAGGCAAGGATCTTGGGCAAGATCAAGTTGGTGAAGAGGAAGGGTCCGATGTGGTTGGTACCGAATTGAGCTTCGAATCCATCCTTGGTGGTGTGATATGGTGATGCCATGATAGCGGCGTTGTTGATCAAGACATCAATAGCTTCAGGATAGGTGTTGACTTCGGCAGCAGCATGTCGGACCGACTCGAGCGAGGCGAGATCAATAACGAGGGATCGTAAGTTAGCGGAAGGAGTCTCTGCCTTGATCTTTTCAATGGCATCGTCGAGCGCCTCTTGCTTTCTACCAGCAACAATAACTAAGCCAGCATGGTGCTTTGACACCACTCTTGCGGTCTCATAACCAAGACCACCGAATGTGCATCCAGTGATCAAGACGGTCTTTCCCTTGATTTCGTTTTCAAAGTAAGTAGCGACTTCCTCAGCTTCAGTTTTGGAATTAAAGTTCTTGTTTGACATAATAGAGAATATGTATCAGAGTTGTGTTGATGTGTAAATTGTGAGCCACTGGTAGACAATATATATATATTTTAATAAAGTGGAGACGCGTACCTCTGCCATCATCAGACAAGACAACATACGCGTTGCCGGATAAATGCGTATAACCGATTTGCAACAGTGCAAAGGCCAAGCGGGCTTTTAAAATATGACTAATGCGGATAAGACGGAGAATCGGGCCGATGGCCAATTACGTTGCCTTTCCCTCACCAAACATTGGCATTGAAAGATGCAATTGCAGCTTTATTGGCGTTACTTTTGAGACTTGAGTACAAAATACCACATGCAGATGCTTTGTTAGCCTTTTAAGAACAGTTTATGAACTACAACGCAGAAACGCTTGATAATTAACTACATGTCTTGGCTTTCCTAAGGTAAAAATGCAATCGCCAGCTAGCTTGAGGCAATTTCAGCGCTGGTGTTACCAGCATAAACTCTGGAAATGGTAGATCATCGATTGCACAAGCGAACAACGTATGCCTCCAGACATACGAGGCGGCAGTTACGTAAATTTCCTTTTTGATAAAGGAACTTTGGAGAGATTATGAGGCTGAGGAATGGCAAATTAGACTGTACATGAAGCGACAGTTGTAGCAGTAGGGACCCTCGGAAGACTTAGAATGGTTATACAATATGAATAGTGTCAAGTTGCGTTTCAACTTTAATATGAGCAACTTGATATGGAAAAACAATGGGAAAGGCAATGCGAGTTAACAAGTCAATGCCTCCTGGTGATAAGTTTTGACTATTGCAGCAACACGGTTACGGACTGAATTAAGACGAGATGATTGATAAGGTGAGGGGGGTTTGCGGTTGAAGCTGCTATTCTGATTGCTCCCATGGTAGTATCAAAGGGCTTTTGTTTTCTCTTAGAAAGGACCACCAGTAGCAATGAGTTGGACCAACATCAAATCCTGCCCTCGAACTCGCTATGTGCACTGAGTAATCAAAAAAGTCCCTTTCCCCCATTTGGCTCCTCATCATGTTGCCTAGGGTCTTCATTGAATATTGAGAATTGGTTTACGTGTCCCAGTTACGTATGGCAAAAGGTTACGGTCATGTCACTTTAAAGGCAACTTGATAATTCCCATTTGGAGTGTACGTGTCCAAAGTTTGTCCGTGATTGAGTTTATTAAACTGCCAGTCGGCTTCACTGAAAATGCATCAAGTAGAAAGAGTACAGAGAAATTTATCATATAACTACGTCAAGGGAGTTGGAATCTGATTGCCACTCCAGGTCAAAAAAAATGAGGTGGAGAGGAATTCATCAGATTTTTTATAATTAAACGTGCTGGCATAAAAAAAATTCTGTTTGTACAGCTTAGAGTATTTGGATTGAAGTACTTTGTCAGTCAAAGCGTTGTCCAACCAATTTCTCAGTCAATTTCCACAGTTTTTCGGCTTGCGTATCATCTGTGGCCCAAGGATTGACTTGATCCATGGCGATTTGACAGTCCACCAGGTATGATCCAGACTCCGAAGCAATAGTTGGATCAAAGGCAGCAACCAGTAGAGTTGACGTTCCTTGACTAAGGGTCTTGAATGCCACCCCACTAAAATCGACCACATCGCCATGGTGATCCTTTACTGGTCCAGCGGAATCTTCAGGTGTAATGGCACATGCAGGTTTCTTGATCACACCAGGATGGAGACTAAAGGCCGCAAGTCCTTTGCTTTTGTAGCGCTTGCTCAGCTCACAGGCAAACAAAATTTTGGCAGTCTGGGATTGAGCGTATGCGATCCATTCGGTGTATCTGTTGCCTTTGTCGAAGAAAAGATCGTCGAAACGGATAGCTGAAAGAAAATGGCCAATACTAGAAACACTGACAATACGCGGAGCCTTGGAAGCAAGAATCTTAGGCACGATCAAATTGGTGAAGAGGAAGGGTCTAACATAGTTGGTACCATATAGTGCTTCAAATCCGTCCTCGGTAGTGCGATATGGACAGCCCTTCATATTAGCGTTGTTAATAAGCACATCAATATCTTCAGGATAGGCATTGATTTCGGCCGCTGCGTGCCTGACGGATTGGAGTGATGCAAAATCGACCACCAATGACTGGATTTTAGCAGAAGGAGTTTCCTCATTGATCTTTTGGATGGCTTCGTCAAGCTGCTCTCGTTTCTCACCAGCTACGATCACTAATGCAGCATGGTGCTTGGCAATGGTGCGAGCACACTCGGCACCAAGGTCATTTCAGGTACATCCAGTAATTAAGACGGTCTTTCCTTCGATCTCGTTTTCGAAGTAAATAGCAACTTCGTCTGCTTCGGTGTGGAACCCAAAATTCTTGTTTGACATGTAAAAAGTGTTTTATTCACTGTATTCAATGTATACGCGGATTCTAAATGAAGGTTGGCTCGACTCTCCTAAATACTGGTCTCATTTTTTGAAGCGATTTCTTCCGTTGCTCACTAGCAATATGCGTCATATCCTTGTGTCCCTTTGGTGGAATATACTACCGGATTCGGAAAGAGGGTATTGCGAATCATTGGACATATTGGTGGTGTCAATTTCTACGAATCAGAAAGGTACATCGCTGTTAGAGGAGGTAATTCAAGGCATGAAAATGTTTTCCTGTATTGACATTGCATAAAAAGGTGTCGCCCAAATTCGATAGCATCCTACGCCGATTCCCAAGACGATCAGCGGCATCAAGGAGTAACAGGCATGGATGTCATAAATACGTCTTCGATCTCTAATTAAGCTGGTGTCGACAGTATCACCCATCATTTTCAGTACAAGTGAAAGGTAATGGTACACGGAGGAAAATTTGCATGTATTCATCTATGAAGGAAAAGGTATAATGACATGTTGTCTAGGATCAAATTTTTAATTGCAGGTTATCAATTAAAACTGCTGCCCAATGATTTTCTCACTCAGTTCCCACAGCCGCTCGGCCTGAGCCTCATCTATGGCATATGCCTTGGCCTCATTATTGGCAAGCTGACAACTAACTAGGTAAGAACCAGATTGCGAAGTAATGTTAGGATCAAATGCCGCAACAATATGAGTTGAAGTTCCCTCCGCAATGGTTTTGTATTCAACGCCGGTGGTGTCGTACACATTGCCTTCGTGATCCTTAAGAGGCTCAGCAAAATCTGCAGGTCTAAGATCGCGCCCAAGGTTGGTTTGGATGCGGCCAGGATGTAGACTGAAGGCGACAAGACCTTGGGACTTGTAGCGCTTCGCCAATTCAAGAGCAAACAAAATATTGGCGGTCTTGGATTGACCGTACGCAGCAAATTTGTGATAAGCTTTTCCATTATCGAAGAAAGGATCGTCAAATCGAACTGGGGAGAAGAAATGGCCCAAACTAGAGACGTTGATAATGCGTGGAGCACCAGTCTTAGAAGCAAGAATCTTGGGCAAGATCAAGTTGGTGAAGAGGAAGGGTCCGATGTGATTGGTACCGAATTGAGCTTCGAATCCATCCTTGGTGGTGTAGTATGGTGATGCCATGATAGCAGCGTTGTTGATCAAGACATCAATAGCTTCAGGATAGGTGTTGACTTTGGCAGCAGCATGTCGGACGGACTCGAGTGAGGCAAGATCAATAACGAGGGATCGTAAGTTAGCGGAAGGAGTCTCTGCCTTGATCTTCTCAATGGCATCGTCGAGAGCCTCTTGCTTTCTACCAGCGACAATGACTAAGCCAGCATGGTGCTTGGACACCACTCTTGCGGCCTCGTAGCCAAGACCACCGAATGTGCATCCAGTGATCAAGACGGTCTTTCCTTTGATCTCGTTTTCAAAGTAAGTAGCGACTTCTTCTGCCTCAGTGTGATATCCGAAATTCTTGTTTGACATGATGAAGGGAATTTAACACGATTTTAGTAATTTAAGATATCTTAATGAGCCACTGGGTCATCTTAAATATTTTTCTCAGATCTTGGAACGAGGTGCTTGCGTCGCCATGGAGCAACCATTACTCCATGTCTGGCTGTCGGTGGAATGTATTACCGGATTGACAGAAAGATTTCAGTACGTTTGCGATCCAACTTGGCTGTGCTCTATTATATTAACTTTACTGGCTGTTGATTATGTAAGGTTATCTAGAGGCTATGATATCGAACTGAGCGCTCACTGTTCCGTCAAAGTCGAAGCTAGCGGTATGTGTAAAAAGTTACTTATATTTTATTGGTATTCAGATCATCGGTCCTAGCTCAAAATTTGGTCGACTATTAAAACTGCTGTCCAACGATTTTCTCGCTCAGTGCCCACAACTTTTCTGCTTGCTTATCGTCTGTAGCATACGGCTTGGCCTGCTCCATGGCAATCTGACAGTCAGACAGGTAAGAACCAGATTGGGATATAATGTTAGGATCAAATGCCGCAACAATATGAGTTGAAGTTCCTTCAGGAATGGTCTTGTATACGAAACCGCTCAAGTCGAGGACATTGCCATCATAATCCTTGATGGGCTCAGCAAAAAGCTCTTCAGGTTGAATATCGCGGCCAAGATTAGTCAAGATGCCACCAGGATGAAGACTGAAGGCGACAAGACCTTGGGACTTGTAGCGCTTCGCCAATTCACGAGCAAATAACATATTGGCGGTCTTGGTTTGACCATAAGCGGTCCATTTTTGATAGGCTTTGCCATTGTCGAAGAAAGGATCGTCGAACCGGATTGGAGAGAAGACATGTCCCATACTTGAGATATTTACAATACGTGGAGCTCCGGTCTTAGAAGCAAGGACCTTGGGCAAGATCAAGTTGGTGAAGAGGAAGGGTCCGATGTGATTGGTACCGAACTGAGCTTCGAATCCATCCTTGGTGGTGTAGTATGGTGATGCCATGATAGCAGCGTTGTTGATCAAGACATCAATAGGTTCAGAATAGGCGTTGACCTCAGCAGCAGCGTGTCTGACGGACTCAAGTGAGGCGAGATCAATAAGGAGGGATCGTAAGTTGGCAGATGGAGTCTCTGCCTTGATCTTCTCAATGGCATCGTCGAGAGCCTCTTGCTTTCTACCAGCGACAATGACTAAGCCAGCATGGTGCTTGGACACCACTCTTGCAGTCTCATAACCAAGACCGCCGAATGTGCATCCAGTGATCAAGACGGTCTTTCCCTTGATTTCGTTTTCAAAGTAAGTAGCGACTTCTTCAGCCTCAGTGTGGTATCCGAAATTCTTATTTGACATAATAAAGAGAATATGTTGTAATGTTGATATTTCTTTTTGAACTGTTGGCACGTCTTAAATACTCCTTGAATTTAGAAACGAAGTGCTTCATTCATCAGTGCCCGTCAAAATACTTACGTGTACCTACGATTCGTGGCTTCGGCGGAATATATTACCGGATTCGTAATTAGGGCTCTAGAGGTGCAGCGGCTTAAAGCTGTGTTTGATTCTATTAAAGACTGCTGCTTTGCGTATAATTCGCCAGGAGTTTCCGGAAATCCACATCCGGAGGGAAAGTTTGACTTTAAGTGGATGAAAATTGTTAGTATACAATATGGCTACCATTGAATTAATATAACGCCGCCTGAATAGAGGACCACTCTGCCTCTGGCCCCTGCGGTATAGAGTCCTTACCCCATGTAAAGTTTTCGTTTGTGTCAATCGTGTTAGTTCCAAACTAGTTCACATTTTTTTTTTTCAAATCAAGGGAAGGCAATATAAATGAAGTTTGCATGTGTATTTGTGGACAGACGAACTGGCATCTGGAATAATATCTAACTTTTGCGGCATACCTTATTGGAACTTTTGGCCAACCAGCTTTTCGCTCAGCCCCAACAGTTTTTCAGCTTCTGCATCATCTTTCGCGTATTGCTTTACCCGATCCATAGCCAGGTGACAATCTGCCAGATAAGATCCAGTCTCGGAGGCGAGTTTTGGTCAAATGCTGCGACGATATGAGTTGCAGTGCCTTCAGGAATGGTCTTGTGATACTCGCTGCTGAAATCGATTGAAATGCCATCGTAATCCTTCATAGGCTCCGAGAACTCTTCACGTTTGACATTGCGAGAAAGGGTTGGTACGAATAACGCCAGGATGAAGGCTGAAAGCAGTCAGTCCCTGGCTCTTGTATCGGTTGCTCAATGCACGAGCAAATAAAACGTTGGCGGTTTTGGATTGACCATATGCGAGCCATTTATGATAAGTTTTACCGTCTTCAAAGCAAGGGTCGTCATATCGTATGGCGGAGAGAATATGACCAACACTTGAGGCGTTGACAATACGTGGGCTCCGGTCTTAGAAGCAAGGATGTTGGGCAAGATCAAGTTGATGAAGAGGAAAGGTCCGATGTGGTTAGTACCGAGTTGAGACTCGAATCCATCCTTCGTTGTGTGGTACGGTGGTGCTATGGTAAAAATCGGTGTTGATCAAGATAGCAATAACTTCAGGGTAGGTGTTGACTTCGGCAGCAGCCTGTCGGACAGACTCGAGTGAAGCGAGATCAATAACGAGGGATCGAAAGTTAGCGAACGGAGTCTCTGTCTTAATCTTCTCAATGGCATCGTCGAGTGACTCTTGCTTTCTACCAGCGACAATGACTTAGCCAGACTCGTAGCCAAGACCACTGAATGTGCATCAGTGATCAAGACGATCTTCCCTTGATCTCATTTTCATAGTAAATAGTGACTTCTCCAGCCTCAGCGTGGTATTTAAAAATACTTATTTTGACATATTGAAGAGAATGTATTACAATTTTTTTATTTGAGGATACCTTATTGAACCGCTGGATCGTCTTAAATACATTTCTCAGATCTTGGAACGAGGTCCTTGCGCCGCCATGGAGCGACCATTACTCCATGTCTGACTGTCGGTGGAATGTATTACCGGATTGACAGAAAGATTTCAGTGCGTTTGCGATCCAACTTGGCTGTGCTCCAGTATATTAATTGTACTGACTGTCTATCGTATAAATTTTTTGAGAGGCTATGGTATCGAACTGAGCACTCACTAGCTTCGATCAAAGTTGAAGCTAAGGGTATGTGTGAAATTTACTTTTGTATTTTATTGGTATACAACGATCGGGCTAACTCAAAACTTGGTTATCAATTAAAACTTTTGTCCAACGATTTTCTCGCTTAGTGCCCACAACTTTTCAGCTTGTTCATCGTCTGTAGCATACGGCTTGGCCTGCTCCATGGCAATTTGACAGTCAGACAGGTAAGAACCGGATTGAGAAATAATATTGGGATCAAATGCCGCAACAATATGAGTTGAAGTTCCTTCAGGAATGGTCTTGTATACGAAACCAGTCAAGTCGAGGACATTGCCATCATAATCCTTGATAGGCTCAGCAAAAAGCTCTTCAGGTTTAACATCGCGAGCAAGATTAGTTAAGATGCCACCAGGATGAAGACTGAAGGCGACAAGTCCTTGGGACTTGTAGCGCTTCGCCAATTCACGAGCAAATAATATGTTGGCGGTCTTGGATTGACCGTATGCAGCCCATTTGTGATAGGCTTTGCCATTGTCGAAGAAAGGATCGTCCAATTGGACTGGAGAGGATATATGTGCCATACTAGAGATATTTACAATACGTGGAGCTCCGGTCTTGGAAGCAAGAACTTTAGGCAAGATCAAGTTGGTGAAGAGGAAGGGTCCGATGTGGTTGGTGCCGAATTGAGCTTCGATCCCATCCTTGGTGGTGTGGTATGGTGATGCCATGATAGCAGCGTTGTTGATCAAGATATCAATAGGTTCAGAATAGGCGTTGACCTCAGCAGCAGCATGTCGGACGGACTCCAGTGAGGCGAGATCAATAAGGAGGGATCGTAAGTTGGCAGATGGAGTCTCTGCCTTGATCTTCTCAATGGCATCGTCGAGAGCCTCTTGCTTTCTACCAGCGACAATGACTAAGCCAGCATGGTGCTTGGACACCACTCTTGCGGTCTCATAACCAAGACCACCGAATGTGCATCCAGTGATCAAGACGGTCTTTCCCTTGATCTCATTTTCATAGTAAGTAGCGACTTCCTCAGCCTCAGTGTGGTATCCGAAATTCTTATTTGACATAATAAAGAAAATATGTTGTAATGTTAATATTCTTTCGGTATTGCTGGCTCGTCTTAAATATTTCTTGATTTAGAAACGAAGTGCTTATATTCGTAAGTGTACACCTATTCTTACGTATTCCTGAATGCGTGGCTCCGGCGAAATGTATTACCGGATTCATAACTATGGCTCTAGAGGTGGAGCTGGATTTAAGCTGTATATTAAAAGCTGCTGCTCCGCATGTAATTCGCCACAAGTTTCCGGAAATCCACATCCGGAGTGAAAGTTTGACCCCATGAAAAGCTTTTGATTTGTAGCAATCGTATTAATTGCAAACTAGCTCACAATTTTTTTTCAATTCAAGTAGGAAGGCAATACGAATGAAGTTTGCATGTGTATTTATGTACGGATGAACTGGCATCTGGAATAATGTCTAACTTTTGCGGCATACCTTATTGGAACTTTTGGCCAACCAGCTTTTCGCTCAGCTCCCACAGTTTTTCAGCTTCTGCATCATCTTTCGCGTATCGCTTTACCCGATCCATAGCCAGTTGACAATCTGCCAGATAAGATCCAGTCTCGGAGGCGATGTTCTGATCAAATGCTGCGACGATGTGAGTTGCAGTGCCTTCAGGAATGGTCTTGTGATACTCGCTGCTGAAATCGATTGAAATGCCATCGTAATCCTTCATAGGCTCCGAGAACTCTTCGCGTTTGACATTACGAGAAAGGTTGGTTCGAATAACGCCAGGATGAAGGCTGAAAGCAGTTAGTCCCTGGCTCTTGTATCGGTTACTCAATGCACGAGCAAATAAAACGTTGGCGGTTTTGGATTGACCATATGCGAGCCATTTATGATACGTTTTACCGTCTTCAAAGCAAGGGTCGTCATATCGTATGGCGGAGAGAATGTGACCAACACTGGAGACGTTGACGATGCGTGGAGCTCCGGTCTTAGAAGCAAGGATCTTTGGCAAGATCAAGTTGGTAAAGAGGAAGGGTCCGATGTGGTTGGTACCGAGTTGAGACTCGAAGCCGTCCTTGGTAGTGTAATAAGGAGATGCCATAATACCGGCATTGTTGATCAAGACATCAATGGCTTCAGGATAGGCGTTGACTTCGGCCGCAGCGTGTCTGACCGACTCGAGTGAGGCGAGGTCCAAAAGCAACGGTCGTAAGTTCGCTGATGGGGTTTCTGCTTTGATCTTCTCAATGGCATCGTCGAGCGATTCCTGTTTTCTACCAGCAACAATAACCAATTCAGCGTGGTGCTTGGACACGACTCTCGCGGCCTCAAAACCAAGGCCACCAAGTGAGCATCCGGTGATCAAGACGGTCTTTCCCTTGATGTCGTTTTCGAAGTAAGTAGCAGCCTCGTCAGCTTCGGTGTGTAGTCCAAAATCCTTGTCTGACATAATAAAAATATATAGCGTGTTTGTGTAGGTAAGAAAAGTAAACGTGTCGTATTTATACTGTTTTCTGTGAAGGTAATTGACTATGTGACACTTGTTTGAGAATCCATTATTATTCTTCCATGAAAGGAAATTGCTGGCTTTCAGTGGCACGTTGAGGGGGGATTGCGGCAGCCTACCCACTTGAAGCAAAATTAAGAAATCCGTACTATCAGTCAGCCTGATGATGTCGTTATTGATCATTGATCAATCATTATCTAATCACTTAATCTCTCGCAGCTTCAAGTTGTAGATCGCACAAAGGCTGGTGTAGATGCCACCAGGGCGAAGGCAAGGCGAAAGTTTCTTTGATCTCGTTTGAAATATAAGGAAGACTTCCTTCGCTTGGTGTGGATCTGCAACTCCTATTATGTATAAAGAAACCATGTAATATCGTGTATCTGTATATACTTGTGAGCTGTTGGATGGCCCTTGCCTTATTACCAATGTTTTGAAGGTAATGCTTGCATCTTCTTCAACAACATTTTCTTGTGTATTCCGTGCGGGGCTTCGGTGGAACTTTGCGGGGCTTCGGTGCATATCCCGGGTTCACTAAAATTTTTGGGCCAGGGGCTTTGTTTCATTGCATAAAATTGTAGTGATGCTTTGCTAGGAAGTGAAAAGTCACACCTGGAAGTGAAAGCGAAATATTCTAAAGGACAATTTGTGAGTATATATCACTGCTATGAATACAAGTGCTATTCAAAGTTGTCACCACTATGTCCTAAATCACAGCGAGCAGCTAGCGGTAATGGATTTACATAACCGTGGTAAAAGTACATTTAAGTTATCTGTATAAATATCTAGCTCAATTCTCCCTATCCCATAGTGTAATGAGAACGACAATATATATTGTTAATTTACATTTGTTTATATCGTAGGAACATACAGATAAATGAGATGATGTCTAAGTGCTGTACCATCATTATATCTAAAACTTTTGTCCAACAATCTTCTCACTCAACGCCCACAGCTTCTCGGCTTGTGTATCGTCTTTGGCATAGGGCTTAGCATGGTCCATGGCGATTTGGCAGTCATCCAAGTATGCACCGGAGTCTGAAGCAATCTTTGGATCAAAAGCAGCAACAATATGAGTTGAAGTGCCTTCAGGAATGGTCTTGAATTCCAGATTTCTCCAATCAACCGCTTCTCCGTCATAATCCTTCATTGGTGTCATCAACTCTTCGGGTTTGACATCACGAGCGAGGTTAGTATTGATACCGCCAGGATGAAGACTGAAAGCGGTAAGTCCCTTGCTCTTGTAGCGGTTGCTCAATTCACGAGCAAACAGCATATTGGCAGTCTTGGACTGACCATAAGAGGTCCACTTCTGATAGGATTTACCATTGTCGAAGAAGGGATCATCGAATCGGATTGGAGAGAAAATATGACCAACGCTGGAAACGTTGACAATGCGTGGAGCTCCGGTCTTAGAAGCAAGAACCTTGGGCAAGATCAAGTTGGTGAAGAGGAAAGGTCCGATATGGTTGGTACCGAATTGAGCTTCGAATCCATCCTTGGTAGTGTGGTATGGTGATGCCATGATAGCAGCGTTGTTGATCAAGACATCAATAGGTTCAGAATAGGCATTGACTTCGGCAGCAGCGTGTCGGACGGACTCGAGTGAGGCGAGATCGATGATGAGAGGTCGCAAGTTAGCGGATGGAGTCTCAGCCTTGATCTTCTGAATGGTATCGTCAAGAGCCTCTTGCTTTCTACCAGCAACGATGACCAAACCAGCGTGGTGTTTTGCTACTACTCTTGCGGCCTCAGCTCCAAGACCACCCCATGTACATCCAGTGATCAAGACAGTCTTTCCCTTGATCTCGTTTTCGAAGTAAGTAGCGACTTCGTCAGCTTCAGTGTGGAATCCAAAGTTCTTGTTTGACATAATAAAATATGATATGTTTGTATTTTTAAGATACTTGGGATACAGTGGGTGGATATGCATTATTTATATTCTCTCTGTAAGGGGTGATTGCGTATGTTTAGTGTCTGACATTCAATGTTAGACATCTTGCGTGTCGCCGGCAGAAGGGAATCGCCGATTATGAATAGCACCATATGAATCCTAGTTTATGACTGTGTCCCATTTTTGGTATGGAAATTATTGAAATACTAGCAGCCCTGTGAAGCGACACTCACTACGACCGAGTTTATTATAAATATCATTTTTGATACAGGTATAATGTAAAAATCTTGCGCCCTCACATAAGGCAATAATTTTTCTTTAGTACCTCTGATCCAAACTTTTGCCCAACAGTCTTCTCGCCCCAGTGCCCACAGCCTTTTTAGTGCGCGTCGTTTTAGCGTATGTCTAGTCCTTATTCATGGCGACTTGACAGTTTCCTTATATGATCCAGACTTCGAGGCAACCTTGGGATCAAACACCGCTTCGGTATGAGCTGCAGTGCTTTTAAGAATGGTGTTGAATTCTTAGTTGCGCCAATCTACCAATTCGCCGTCAAAATCCTTCATTGGCGTCATTACTCTTCAGCCTCAACATCACGAGCGAGATTAGTGTTGATATCGCCAGGTTCTGTGATGAAGGTTGTAAGTCCTGTACTCTTGCAGCGCTTGTTAAATTTACCAGCAAATAGCATATTGGTAGTCTTGGACTGAACATAAGGGATTCATAGGCTTTTCCGTGATCATCAAATTGGATTTGGAAAATAAGACCAACAAGTAGAAATATTGACAATACGTGGATCTCCGGTTCAAGGAGCAAAATTTGACGAGGTCAAGTTGGTGAAAAGGACGGGTGCAACAGAATTTGATTCTCCACCGTTGATTGAGTACGAAGGTATCTTCTAACATCATGTAAACGTACACCTTTGCGTTATTTGTACAGATTTTAAGCTGACCTCTCCATCTCTCAGATTAATGAAAAGCGGTAATGTATGTGGATAATTTACATTGGTTTATATTGTAAGAACACACAGGTAAATGGAGATGATGTCTAAGTGCGGTTTGTACTATTATTATATCTAGAACTTTTGTCCAACGATCTGCTCACTCAACGCCCACAGCTTCTCGGCTTGCGTATCATCTTTGGCATAGGGCTTAGCATGGTCCATGGCGATTTGGCAGTCATCCAAGTATGCACCAGAGTCTGAAGCAATCTTTGGGTCAAAAGCAGCAACAATATGAGTTGAAGTGCCGGAAGGAATGGTCTTGAATACGGCTTTGCTCCAATCAATCACATTGCCGTCATAGTCGCTCATAGGGGTCAGAAACTCTTCAGGTTTGACATCGCGACCGAGGTTAGTGTGGATACCGCCAGGATGAAGACTGAAAGCGGTAAGTCCCTTGCTCTTGTAGCGGTTGCTCAGTTCACGAGCAAACAGCATATTGGCAGTCTTGGACTGGCCGTAAGCGGTCCATTTTTGATAGGCGTTACCGTTGTCGAAGAAGGGATCGTCAATTCGGATGGGAGAGAGAATATGACCAACACTGGAGACGTTGACAATGCGTGGAGCTCCGGTCTTAGAAGCAAGAACCTTGGGCAAGATCAAGTTGGTGAAGAGGAATGGTCCGATATGGTTGGTGCCGATTTGAGCTTCGAATCCATCCTTGGTGGTGTGGTATGGTGATGCCATGATAGCAGCGTTGTTGATCAAGACATCAATAGGTTCAGAATAGGCATTGACTTCGGCAGCAGCGTGTCGGACGGACTCGAGTGAGGCGAGATCAATGATGAGAGACCGCAAGTTAGCGGATGGAGTCTCAGCCTTGATCTTCTCAATGGTATCGTCAAGAGCCTCTTGCTTTCTACCAGCAACGATGACCAAACCAGCGTGGTGCTTGGAAATTACTCTTGCGGCCTCAGCTCCAAGACCACCCCATGTACATCCAGTGATCAAGACGGTCTTTCCCTTGATATCGTTTTCGAAGTAAGTAGCGACTTCGTCAGCTTCAGTGTGGAATCCAAAGTTCTTGTTTGACATTAGTAAAGTTTTATGTGTTTATGATATTGATGGATGAGAGCATTGTTATGTATTATATATATATATATTCATTCACTGTGGGCTGGTTGCGTATGCTGAAAAGTCTGGCATTTAATAATGTTTGAGTGTCTTGCGTGTCGCCGGGAGAAGGGAATCGCCGAATGAAAATCCGAATGAAAATAGCCAATGGTGGGCTATGGAGAAATTCTTGTTTGACAGGGAGAAGGTGCTTATAATTTAAGATTGTGATCGAAACTTTATGAGACACTGGTAACATTATGTATGTCTTCCAAGAAAGGGTACATACGTTGCAACCTGGGATTTCGGACCTTCTTTGTATTGCTTCGGTGGAACATATAACCGAATTGAGAGAGACCCCGCAGCACGTTTATAGGGAATTCGCATTCTTGTTGAATAACTCTGACGGGGTATCTGCAAATAAAATTACGATAACGGCCGTACGGCAATGAAAATATCCATACATTTGACCAATTCGATCTGTCTTGTTACTTCTATACGAGCACTTACAAAAGAATTATATGTCATATATACTATACCGAAATTTATGTGACGTTTCAACTGGCTTGACACTTCATGGACCCCAAATACAAGCGAAGACGAAAATACATATGAACACAATACATGCGAAATGTTTATTAATGAAAAACTATCTAGTACCTCTGTGTAATTCTTGCGCCTTCAAGCAATTAAAAATTTTGTCCCACGATTTTCTCACTCAGTTTCCATAATTGATCAGCTTGGGTATCATCAATTGCGTAAGGTTTGGCATGATCCATGGCAATTTGGCAGTCAACCAAATAGGACCCTGACTGCGAGGTAATACTTGGATCAAAGGAAGCAACAATGTGAGTCGAGGTACCTTGAGGAATAGTTTTTGGAGTAAAATCGGTGATGTCAATCACATTGCCGTAGTAGTCAGTGACAGGCTCGAGAGCATCTTCAGCTGTCATATCGCGACCAAGATTAGTCTGAATGCCACCAGGATGAACACTAAAAGCTGTCAGGCCTTTGTTTTTATATCGATTGCTCAGTTGACGAGTAAACAGCATGTTAGCCGTCTTTGATTGGCCATATGCCCACCACTTATTATAAGCTTTGCCGTTGTCAAAGGAAGGGTCGTCGAATAAAATCGGAGCAAGAATGTGACCGATACTGGAGATGTTGACAATACGTGGAGCGCCGGTCTTAGAAGCAAGAAGTTTGGGCAAGATCAAATTGGTGAAGAGGAAAGGTCCAACGTAATTGACACCAAACTGTCCCTCTAGTCCATCCTTGGTAGTATAATAAGGAGACGCCATAATTCCAGCGTTGTTAATTAACACATCGATAGCTTCAGTGTAGGCGTTAACCTCGGCAGCAGCGTGTCTGACGGACTCGAGTGAGGCGAGATCAATAACAAGGGATCGTAAGTTGGCGGATGGGGTCTCTGCCTTGATCTTCTCAATGGCATCGTCGAGTGACTCTTGCTTTCTACCAGCAACAATGATCAAACCAGCATGGTGCTTTGCTATAACTCTTGCGGCCTCAAAACCAAGACCACCAAGCGTGCATCCAGTGATCAAGACAGTCTTGCCTTTGATCTCTTGTTCGAAATAAGTAGCAACCTCATCTGCTTCAGTGGCAAATCCAAAGGTCGTGTTTGATATCATTAGTGTTAATAATTTGATGGTTGAAAAGTTATTTGATGACTGCTCATTATATATCTGTTGGTGGAATTCAGGGGAAACATCTCAAGTACTGCGGATTCTGTTATGGACACCAAATACGTTACACATTGTCCGCAAAAATATGCCCCATGCTACCGGCTAAAACTCGCCCAAACTGGATGCCGAAAACGGGCCGACAAGCCAATGGTAAAATAACTCTATCCAAGCGTACAATGAAAGGATCAACTGTTGAGAAAAATGACATCTTTTTCGGTAAAAAATATCAATTGGAAGGCACTCTGTAACAAATATTTGGCATAAGAAATTTTTAGTCAAATTCAAGCTCAAATTTTAGTCAATTTCGATCTCAAACTACTGTGAAACGTGCAAGAGTTCCATTGCAATAGCCTTTCAGATCACATTGATTGAGCTAACATATTGATTGAGCTACAAATTTATTGTTAATACTTAGGGATGGTTTTTAACTTGGCACCAACTTCATCCGTAACGAGGCTGCGCCCATTATTCCATGCGGTTGCCATATTAAGAATCGTGTCCGATCACAATTATTCATTACCATGGAGAATTCGTTGCCATGCAACAAGTTGAGTTTCTCATCCTTTCACAGTGCGCTTGATCGGATCTCATCCATCGCTAGAATGGTGGCCCCAGCGTATATAGAACTCGGATAAAAGAGTTAATATAGCCGGTTGGTCATGCTTAACTAGCTATGACATGCCCACCGTCTTGGATACGCCATCTATGGCTAGCTTTGAACAAGTCATCCAGGACGAAGCGATCATATTCATATGCCAACAGCTTGAAAAAGACTATCGGCGATTGGAATTCTCGGAATGGCCACCAACAGACATAATTGTTCGGTCATACCAAGATAGTGTAGAGAATTGGAGCATCAAGGTGATGGATGGCATTCATCTCAGACATCGTCTTGCATGATACGGCGCCATCGCGATGAAAAACGTGGTGGAAGCATTGGTGTAAAATGGACGCAGCACTAGAGACAGAAACAGTAATCCATCCTTCGATAAAATAATATGTTCACCGAGCAAAGTCTCCTCCAACACAAAGTACTTGATAACATTATATATTTTGCATTTCTTGCGTTACAAATGGCTTACACAAGCTGTACAGATTTCACACTATATACTACTATTTACTGGTCTTCTTTTCGAGCTCATAAAGCTGCTCCACCTCATCGGAAATACATTTTTCAAAGTTGATGTATGGCCTCTGAAGTAATTCGCGCTCGGCTTTAGAGCCATCGATGTCATAGCAATCGAGACGGCTAGTGTCACCTTCTGGCAACTTTCTGTCGGGGTACTTTTTGTTGACAATGGCGGTGACTTGCTCGAATCTGTAAATACCCGAGGAAACCAAGTAGCGAGAATTGGAAGCCGAAGCCGTTGTCAAAGCAGCAACATGGGCGACAGCCACATCGCGGACATCAACAAAACCAGGGAAGACGGTTTCAGGAATCTTGTTGGACTTGCCATTGACGATCTGCCAGATTTGCATGCTGGATTCGTTCAAGTGATCCAGGCTGTCGATATGGTGAGCAACAGGACCATACACCATAGGCATGCCTGTTATGCAAGGGTTAGAGAGGATGCTTACATCAACATGTTTCTCTACGCCACACCAGATACTTACAAATGGTAGTAATGTCAAAGGAAGGCTTCCTGTTCTTCACAAAATCCCAACCTTCCTCTTCTGCAAACTTCTTTGACGCACAATAGACAAATCCGGGATTATCGGACTTCCGAGCTTCCTCCCATGTGGCAGGGTTCCAGTCCTTTTCCGTGTATGTATAGCCTGGTCGCAATCCTTTGCTCACATCGACCACAGCAGCAAACGATGAAGTAATGATGACTCTCTTGATCGACTTATGAGTGCTAGCGGCTTGAAGGATGTTCTTGGTTCCTTCTCGAGCGGGGAGGAGGAGGTCTTTTTCGTTATCTTTGATGTCAAAGGTGAACGGGCTGGCAATATGCATGACATAGTCGCATCCTTGCACAGCTTGGTCGAAAGCGCCTGAGGAAGTGATATCGGGCACAATCACGCTTTCAATGCGGTCTTTGTGTTGAGGATTCACTTTTTTCACGTCGTTGGCTTTGGATTCCGAGCGAACTGCCACGCGGATGCGATAGCCTTTGTTGAGCAGTTCACGGCAAACATGGGAACCAACAAATCCATTGGCTCCGGTAACTAAAACGAGTTCTCCAGTCATGATAATATAAGATAAGTCGGTGTAAGAGAGATGAAACTGGCTCCTTATATATCTGATGGGCACCTCTATTTTGTCAGCAATCGGCTGTTTTTCAATTTCAGTCCATATATGACGTACGGCGTAAGAGGATAGGAGTGACGCAAGCCTTTTGGCTGACATGCCTGTAGAAGCGGTTTTAGACGTCTTCAGCGATACAACAGAGTGGTTTCAAATGCATTGCACACTTCGTTGGCGGCTGTACTAGAAGTTGCATGAAATAAAAAATTTTGTTTGTCCGTTCCAACGTTCGATATTTGTTGGACGAGAGAGCCCGCTCCAAAAATTTGGCCAATTACTAATGGTGATAAATATGACATATCAAATATTTTAATGATGAAGAAAAGTACTTCCTATTTTTATTTTGCTATCCCCTTACAAACGTATATTATACCTTCTTCTTAAACGAAAAGAATGCTACTATTGGGTTCATTTTTGGCTGAGAAAAGTTTAGAGACGACTTGGCCCAATTCATAGACCGCTTCTTCGTTATGCCTCGGACTTTTCCATGCAGAAGCTGCTCGCTAAAGTTCCATAGCTTGATGGCATTTTCTTCATCGAGAGCGTCTGGTCGAGCAAGTTCGTTGTGAACTTGCGCATCTTCGAGATATGAGCCATTTTGGTCGACAATAGTGGGGTCAAAAGCCGCAACAATATGAGTCGCACTACCAGCTTCAAGCGACTTCCATTTAACAGCAGTAAGATCAAAAGCATTGCCCTTCCAATCGGTTACTCCATCTTTCAAAACCTGGGCAATGTCAAAGTGCCGCAATAAATTGGTCTGTACGCCACCAGGGTGGAGACTAAATGCTAAGAGACCTTGGTCCTTATACCGTCGACTGAGCTCCTTGGAAAACAAAATATTGGCGGTCTTGGATTGTCCATAGGCGTGAAAATTATTGTAAACTTTGCCATCTGAGAATCCAGGGTCATCATATCGAATTGGGCACAACCAGTGGACCGAGCTAGAGACATTGACGATGCGAGGAGCTCCAGTATTGGAAGCCAAGATGCGTCCCATGATGAGGTTGGTGAACTCGAAAGGACCGAGATGATTAACTCCAAATTGTCCTTCGAATCCGTCTTCGGTTTTGAAATAGGGTGGCGCCATAATGCCAGCATTGTTGATCAAGACATCAATAGGTTCACGGTAGCTGTTTACTTCCTTGGCGGCTTTGCGTACGGATTTAAGTGATGCTAGGTCCAGTATCAAACCTCGAAGAGGGGCATTGGGGAACTCGGCTTTGATCTTGTCCATGGCCTCTTGAACGCTCTCTTGCTTTCTACACGCAAGAATGACCAACTTGGGATGATTCTTGCAAATCACTCTGGCGCTTTCACATCCAATGCCTCCGATGGTAGCGCCAGTGATTAAGACCGTTTTGCCTCGGATATTATTTGATAGCACATCGGCCACTTCTTCTGCTGTGGTTTGATCTGTGAATTGGTTAGTCATGATGGATGTAGCTAACCAAATTTTTTTAAAGCGTTAGATTTTTATACTAAACGGACTTGATTTCCCCCCACTTTGTTCTTTGACTGTGTGATTGTTACACTGCACCCACCCATGAGCCTGCAAAACAAGCAAATTTCCAGTGCCTATCACTTTCCACCTATGGCAGTCCGGACCTTCAGGGGCAGTAGACTCGAAGCACGAGCTCTACACAAGATTACCCAGGAGTATTCTTTTATTATATATAAGCATCAATATATGGCTAGACGATTGTTCAAAATATGATGTGGCGCTTATGAAAATCAGGAGGTTCGCTAACACTGTGCATTAGTGTGTCTCGAGAAGGTACCGTTGTTGATAATGCCTTCCGATATCAGTTGCTCAAATGACCATACATCAGAGTTGATGTTGTTCTTGAGTGCCCACATGGTTGCTCCGGCAGCTTTTTGGTAAATAGAGACTTGAGTATCCATGAACTTGCGTAGCCAGGCATCCGACGAAGCCACACCAGAAGCCAAAGACCACTCTCCTTCCAGAACAGGCAGATGGAAGCTGTTATCCGACGACTTTGCACAGATTTGAGAAATAATTTGATCTTGATTGCTGTTGGGTGGGAAAGCCCAGTAGGGATGGAGGTCGATGACAGCGTTAGCCGGGGGAGGTAAAAAGCTACTCCAAGCACTTAGGCCTTTGAAAGCGTCGTGGAACATCATGGGAACTTGATAAGCGGAGGCGTGGATCTTGGTATAAGCTTGTGAATAATAGCTCTTCAATGTTGTCAGTTGAGCATCGCTGGATGTGCGAGGTTCATTGGCAGCTTCGATGGAAGAGATTTGGCTTCTTAGATTGGAAGGTAAGCCGTTCATCCAATCCACCACGGCTTGAACAGTTTTAAGGCTGCGCTGTACGTTATAATCGGTATAGAAGTTGATCGAACCAATGTGGCCAGAGTGGGCTTCACCATTTTGAGAACCGGGCAAACCATGTAAATCGATGATCGCATTGATTTTGTATGTAGCGCAATATCCAAGAATACGTTCGATTTGGGCCTTTTGTCCGGTTGCTACATAAGGTTCGCCAGAATCAGGGGTGATAAATGCCCAGTATCCAACAGGGATACGCACATGGTTAGCGCTCACGCTAGCGAGCTTTTGAAAATCGCTCTCGGTGATCCAGCTGTTCCAGTGTTCCTGCAACGCTGCGGCCGGGTTGCTTGCCTGCTGTGCAAATGTCCACTCGTCATTAGCATTAGGTGCGTATTTGTCAAAAATGGTAGAGTCCATCCATTTCTCGAGAATAAGCCAGTTTCCAAGATTAGCACCCCATGCTTTCATAGTCCAGTAGTTCCAAGCAGTGCCAGACCGCTTGGTGAGAGGAACACCTTGTACAGCCGTCAAGAACCCTAGTCCAGCCACCAAAGCACCTGTGAAAGAGAATGATACCATAGCCGAAGTGAAGAGGATTGGTAGTGATGCATTTTACCAGCCAACCACTCGTGTTCCTTATATACACTGGAAAAAACGCTTATGACTTCATGCATGCTCTGGTGTCGCCATGTAATGTAAAAGGGCCATGTTAAACACCAGCTTCCCGCCTTATTTCATGAGCATAATTTACTCATTTCCAGAATCCCGCTTCGGTTGCGACAGATCTAGTCCGTTCAATAAATGAAAATTACTTACTTTTGTTACACAGCATCCCACTCCAGCAAGAACCCTGCCTTTCCTACTGTTCAACCTACCTTTACCTGCCGGTACTTTCACGTTACATTGACAATTAGGGCCATGTAACAGACGCTTTTGTGGTAAAAGTATCAAAGTAGGAAATACTACTGACCTGGATTACCGGGCTGAACCCTGGTAGTAAGAGTGGGACATGGTACTCTGCTTTCATATGCAAAAGATCGGTGATGCCACATTTTTTGTATGAACATGTAGGTTTGAACAAAAGATCCTCACCTGAAAGAGAGTGAAACAACTTCAATACTATTTTGATTGTCCTCGCCATTATAAAATCGGTTGAGCGAATGCTTCTGGCGATCATTTTCAGGGAAAATACTTGAATGGACGAGTTGGTCTGATGATCGCTCGTGGCAATGTGAGAAGATGCACCAAATGCAGCCGATCGGAATATCACACAATATGAGAGGCGACGGCTCCAGCAATCAGGTAGTCTATATTTCATAATGGCCATTTAGTACTCTATCACAACAAAATTTTGCGGTGCTTCAACTTTCCAACTTACAGCAGTTCGCGCATGATGATAAACAAATTGTAGTGTAGTTGGTCAGTGAAGGACCCTTTTCCTTGTGAAACAACAATGACCCGGTGTAAAAGGTAAGGAAATGGTGGGTATTACCTGGAATAACTACAAGTCATACCTTCCAGCAACCTTGATTTTGATCAAATCCGTATAGCGAATTTGTGTACCGGGTGATATTTCTTGGCTGGACGGGAGGGCTGGACAATAACTCGTATTAATAAAATCCTACCTCTATTGTACATGGTAAGACAGAGTGCTAAATAGAGCTTGAACATGAATTTCCCGTCCTTACACGCCCAGTTACCTTGTGTCCGCCTGCATTATCACCATTTGGTCATCGAATACCACCGCACCAAAGATACTTTTGGAAATTAGGACCCTCACACAGTGGAACCATGATATGGAGTTTGCTGGTATGAATCGTAAGCCTCAACAGATGCTAGGGTTTGGAAGGCGGGATGAAAACAATACGCACGATTTGCATAACATGTAGCACAAGCGAAAATTTAATATCATTTCATTTTCGCCACTGGGTTTCGGAATACCGCTAGTCTTGTCAGCGCGCACCATTTGTAAGTGATTATTTCATGACAAAGATAGTAGATAGTCATCTGCTAGAGTGCATTTATTTAAAACATCAACGAAGTGGAAGAGTAGTGGCGAACTTACTATTGAGCTGTAGGATCCTCATCGGTCCTCAAATGGTTTGCCAGCACACTCTTAAAAATCTATATACACTGTCAGCCTTCCCTTTTTCAAACGCATGCGTATGGAGAAATCGTGAATAGCCATGAGAATTTCTATACCATGGTAAATGACCATAATTTTTTAAGCCAGCGGGAACTTTTGTCCAACCATATCCTCGCTAAGTGACCACAGTCGTTGTGCAGCGTCGTCATCGAGAGCCCAAGACTTTACAGAAGACACGTCGACTTGTGCGTTGTTCAAAAACAAACCAGATTGCTCTTTGATGGATGGGTCAAATGCCGCAACAACGGTGGTGGATGCGCCTTGTTCGACTGTCTTGCGATACAGAAATGACTTGAACTGAGGTGTGATTATGGAGTTGCCTTGAAAGTCAAGCATTCCGGCTTTCATTTCAACATCACGATCAATGTGTCTCTGAAGGTTGGTGTCGATACTTCCAGGATGAAGACTATACGCAAGCAAGCCCTTATTGTTGTAACGATTACTCAATTCTTTGGCGAACAGTATATTGGCCGTCTTGGATTGGCCGTACGCAACCCATTTTTTATAAGTCTTGCCCTCAGAAAATGCGGGATCGTCGAACATGATAGGTGCGAAATGGTGCCCTGAACTGGCAACATTGACAACACGAGGCTCTCCAGTAGTAGACTCCAACATTTTTGAAAGAATCAAGTTGGTAAACACAAAGTGCCCAAGATGGTTGCATCCAAATTGTCCTTCAAAACCGTCTTGAGTTTGGAAATATTCAGAGGCCATGACTGCAGCATTGTTAATCAGGACATCAATAGGTTCTTCATAGGCATTGACTTCCGCGGCAGCTTGTCGAACGGACTCCAGACTTGCCAGATCAAGGATAACGCTGCGAAGGTTGGCAGTCGGGGTCTCTTGCTTGATGTTTGCAATAGTCGTATCTATGGATCCTTGACTCCTACCAGCTAGAACGACGAGAGCTGCTCCATACTTGGCGACAACGCGAGCTGTTTCGCTACCCAGACCACCCCATGTGCATCCGGTGATCAAGACGTGCTTCCCTTTAATCTGAGATGCAAAGACGGAGGCAGCTTCTTCGGCTGTGGTATAGGGTCCGAAATTTTTTGACATTGTGTGAATGGTTTGTTGGTTGGGGTCAATTGGGATCAGTCCCTTTCGTATAAATACTGATTTCAGTCTGATACTTTTTGTGCATTACTCCGAAAAAAGCTCTTTCCAGTTGCCAAACGAGGCACACCAGTGCCTTCTGTATTTTCGGGCCGTCGGTAATGGAATGTGCCGGGCTGCGGATAGCCAATCAGCCTCTAAAGCCGACTGCATTACGATCAGATCAAAAGTACAACGGAAGGCTATGCTGCTGCGTATTATTAATGTAAATGACGATAGTTTCCAGGAACAAAACGAATGAAATAAACATAATATATGTATTATGCTGTGGATGTAAACGTCATTTAAGCGTTTGTGGTGTGTGTCATAGCACTATGGTGATAAAAACAGCTGCCGGTGTTAACAGTTGATTGTCGCAGTTGAGGACTGTCTGGCGAATTTGAAGGTAAAAAATATGAAAGAAGAACGAGAATCAGTATGCCAACGTAGCGCTTTCGTTCACATCACTGTAAGCTTGTTCGGTTGATATATTGCAGTATCTACTTTATTTTTGTGTAAAGTTCCATCATATTACGCTTTGCGAAGATTCTCATATCACAGCTTATTTCGTTAGGATACTTTTTTTTTATTTTACCAAAATTTATATCCGCCCATCGCTGGTCTGTTTGGTCAAGTCCTTCACAACAATCAATTAGTTATGTAGCTAATCGTCTATAAATCTGTTTATAACTACAATATTCAAACTTGAGGAATCACGGCAACAGGAGATCTTCTCAAGGATACGACTATTATTATAACCTACATTCCCTTATTTCCGTCATGGCGGATGTCCATTATATGACTATATCCGTTGGAGACATTTTGTGGATCATTCGTCCGGTCTGCTTTGGGACCGCCATAGGCATACGTGTCCCTGCGGAGCTGTAAGTCTCGGAACATATATGTACCGACTTTGCTATTCGTAAACAGACAGTATTTAAAAAACGCAATGCATAAAACTATATGGATTTAGAGTTGTGAAACATACATTGTTAACGATTGTAATTGTACTTGACAAATCTGCAATGTGGAGTACCTATAGCGTTTACTATCTTTACCAAATTTGTTTGTCGCCAATAACGAGGCAAAGGCAAAACATAGCGCCGGCACATCATCATGGGTTAGCAAGACGTATAACATGCCTTTGATGGATAATGGAATTCCTCTGAAGCCCAACATGCAAGCCGATCAAAGTGTAGTGATTTTGTTGTCTCTATCGAGAATGCAAACCGGTCATACGAATGACACTGCCACGGTATTGTTTGCTATCAGAGACCTTCATCCAAGCTGTGTATAGCTACGTAGTCAGTTAGTAAACCACTTTAAGCGATATTCATCATGACAATTGGAACAGTAGTCATTGTTTGATGCGCCGTATATTAACTGAAAGAATCGAGCGGGGAAACATTAAATCTTGGAAAAAGTTTTCGCCTGAACGTATGGGCCAGCTGCACTAACGTATACAAGCATCAGATTAAATAGGACTATATCAAATAGCTTGGGGTTTCTATTAACTTCTGAAAAAAGGCTACTGTTTAAATAAATAGAAACGGAAGGACCGGCCTGCTTCATCCAAGACATCAATGCGTGTACCGTAGCCTGCTCTTACGTTAGCCTCATCTGCGCGCACAAGAAGGGTTACGCGGCTCTTACGGACTTTGAAAATACCTAAATCTCTTATAAGTGGGAAGTATCCTGCGATTTTTTTCTTTTGTCACAAAACAACCGACGCAACAAATCTAAAAACACAAAAGGCAACAGTAAAAGGCGACATAAATGGTGATGAAAAAGCATTTTGACCTCGATATGATCCCAGACATGTCAGGAAAAGTATGCATAGTTACGGGAAGCAACACAGGAGTGAGCACATGCATACTTGGCATCGAAAATTTGCTGAGATCGAGTGCCTTATCCTTTTTTTTTTTTTATGTTAGATTGGCAAAGCCTGTGCAATGGAACTCGCAAGCAAAGGAGCTCACGTTATAGTTGCTTCTCGTAACTCGTCAAAGGGACAAGAAGCTGTAAACGAAATCAAGGCTAAAACTGGTAATGACTTGATAGAATATTTACAACTCGACCTCTTGTCCCTTGCTTCTGTGACAAAATTCATTGAGGAAATCAAAGCAAAGAATCTGCCGATTCATGTTCTTATCAATAACGCTGGAATCATGGCCAATCCTTTCACGCTCTCCGAAGACGGTATTGAGTCACAGTTTGCAACCAATCACGCAAGTAGTCTATTTCATTACGCCTTTCTCTTTGCATCCAAGCTTACACACAATGAATTTATAGGTCGGCCATTTTTACCTAACCACCCAGCTACTCCCCATCATTAAACAAAGCGCACCCAGCCGTATCATAAATGTCAGTTCCAACGGACATCGCTTTATTCATTGCTATGGACTGCAGCTTCCAGAGCTGAACGACGAAAAGAAGTACTCTCCTTTCTTTGCGTATGGACGCTCTAAAGCCGCCAACATTTTGTTCACCAGAGAGCTCAATCAACGGCTAGAAGCAGAAGGCATTACGGTTTAGTAGCATTTACTTACGCTTTTACAGATTTTGTCCACTCTCTCCTAACAAAGTGCCTCTCCTTTGCAGAACGTCTATGTAAATGCCAATCATCCTGGGTTTGTAGACAGCGATCTACAACGCAACACCTCTGCGATCGTTAAGTCCATTCTCCGCAAATTGATTTTGATTAGCAGTAAAGATGGCGCCATTACTCAACTATACCTTGCCACCAGTCCTGAGGTGGAGAGACATGCTATCAAAGGCAAATATTACATTCCATTTGGGATGGAAAAAGACCCTCATCAGGAATCCAGTTCCCAGGAGAACCAAACCGCTCTTTGGGACTATACCGAAGCCCTTTTGAAAGAGAAGATACCCAACTATCCTGGTGCTGGAATTTAGTCCTACTCCATTCAGGTAATGTCATAGAGTATGATAGAGCTTGTACCACGGACCGCGATAATAATCTCCAACATAGAATGCCACTTACCTATTAATCCGTCGTTATGCCATGTTATCAATAAATGTATGTTGCTGAAATGGATGGCCTCGTGCTTGACGTTGTAATATGTGGAAATGGCGCGTGCCGTCCAACCTGTCACAAAGATGCGGCACTGACCAAGCGGCTGTTTTCAAGCGTGTTGATCTCACATAGTCTGAAGTAGCCATGGGGCAGTAACGTCAAGGTTCAGCAAGACTCCCACCCAAGAAAAAAGGGTTGAGTTACCCAGTGGGAGGCTCCGATTATTAGCCCTTGGCTTTGCTGTGAATCAGCCATAATACCATGGAAAAGCCCGCATGTCCGCTAACGATCGTAAAATAAAATAAAAAAGTTTCAAAGAGGAAGAAACATCACGCCATGTATTGTGAAAACGATGCCCTTTGCTTTGCAACCCTTATTTCCACCCCACAGGAACTTGCCCCTTACCTCAACGTTATTCGCCCCAAAACAAAAAAAAAAAAACCATGAGCGATCATTTGGGAGATAAGATAAAAAAATAAAATTTTGGTTGGTTGCAATTACAGTGGGCGGAGCTGGGCTGTTCGGGAGGACCAGCGGGCAGTCAATTATTTGTCCCAAAGAATAAGCTTGTGGAAAACCTTGAACGGTGATGGTAACGTACCCGCGGGTAGGATAAAGTGGATGCAAAAGCAATGATGATGGAGATGATGCGCGATGGGCGGATGATCAGGGTGGAAAGCATCTTACTTACCAAGGATCGTAAGCGATGAGCAGATGAAAAGCTAGTGACTGCTGTTCGGTGTCATAGTCCTCCACTGCCTTGAACTGTCAAAAAACCTTAGCGATCTATGGCACGCATTTACGTCCCAAAAATTGCTGTCTTTCGTACCGAAGCCATTGGGGATGGTGATACCTTGTGGGTTTTTATCCCGTTTTCCAGCTTTTTTCACTTTGAATAGAATCTACCATGACATAAAAAGTGAAGGAGGAAACGATATTCGGGTTGGGTTGGATGATAAGGATAGTTACGCGTGGTGGTTTATATTGTAAGCTGTCTGGCGGGCTTCTTTGGTGTGAGAGCAGAGCATCTCTTCGGGTTGGGGCCTAGCAGTCACTGAGACCCCAAAATGCGATGAGGACGCTGATCCGCGGTTGTGTTTCCAAAAGTAGTAATCACCGAATGTGCCGTTTGAATCCGTACAGCATTAAGAGGGTTTTAAAGTGTGTTTCGATACAAAGATTTGGCAGGCAGGCATCCCCAATCAATGGTGATTTTTTTTTAGATATAAATCAGTTTCTTTGGGCCCAGCTTCCTTTCTTTTTGTTATTCTCTTTTCCATCTTTCATCATCTGCTATGTCGGCAAAGGCTATTCGAGAAGTAGGTGCTGGCAAATGCTGAAACAGTATGACACGCGTAAATGCTAATGTGGTTTATTTTTCTTTAGTACGACGGAAAGCTTTTGCTCGCTTATCACCTTTTGCGCTCACCTACCGTGGCTGCATCTGGAGATAGCAAGAGTCTTTTTGCTCCCCCTGCTACCAAGTTGGCTCATATCAATGTTGATACTGCTATTCTTTACAAGCAAGGTCAAGCTGCCTTTGACAATGCTCTCAAGCAGCAACTCGACAACCTCGAGGTCACCCACCCATGGCTCCTCACTGAGAAGTTGGTCGCTAAGCCAGATCAACTTATCAAGCGCCGTGGTAAGGCCGGTCTTCTTTCCTTGAACAAGGACTGGGCCACCTCCAGACGCTGGATCGAAGAAAGAGCTGGAAAGGAAGTCCAGGTAAGGAAAAATTTCCAGGAGCGTGTGAGCTTGCCACTGGAAGGAAAGGGGGCTGTGAAAGGCAAACAACACGCTAACGCATAACGCTCTTCAGGTTGAGAAGACTGCCGGTTTCCTCAAGACCTTCTTGGTTGAACCCTTCGTTCCCCATCCTTCTGACACTGAATACTATGTCTGTATCAACAGTGAACGTGAAGGTGATAACATCCTTTTCACCCACGAAGGTGGTGTTGAAGTTGGTGATGTTGACGCCAAGGCCATGAAGCTTCTTATCAAGGTCAATGACAGCTTCCCCTCTGCTGAGGCCATCAAGCAGACTCTTCTCAAGGATGTTCCTGAATACAAGCGTGATGTCTTGGTTGACTTCATCACTCGTTTGTACTCTGTTTACATTGATCTCAACTTCACTTACCTTGAGATCAACCCTCTGGTCGTCACTGAGCCTACCAACGGTCAAACTCCTCAAGTCTACTATCTTGATTTGGCTGCCAAGCTCGATCAGACTGCTGAATTCGAGTCCGGTCCCAAGTGGGCTGTTGCTCGTGCTCCTTCCAACATTGGTCTTAGCGCTTCTGCCTCCGAACAAAACGTTGACCAGGGTCCCCCTATGGAATTCCCTGCTCCTTTCGGTCGTGAACTCACCAAGGAGGAAGCATACATCCAAGAGTTGGATGCTAAGACTGGAGCTTCCCTCAAGTTGACTGTCTTGAACAAGGATGGTCGTATCTGGACCATGGTTGCTGGTGGTGGTGCCTCCGTCGTCTACTCTGACGCCATTGCCGCTCTTGGTTTCGCCCATGAACTCGCCAACTATGGTGAATACTCTGGTGCTCCCACTGAGACTCAAACCTACGAGTACGCCAAGACCATCTTGGACTTGATGACTCGCGGTAACGTCAACCCCGAAGGCAAGGTCTTGATCATTGGTGGTGGTATTGCCAACTTCACCAACGTTGCTACCACCTTCAAGGGTATCATTCGCGCTCTTACTGAATTCAAGCACGATTTGATCAACCACAAGGTCCGCATCTTCATCCGTCGTGGTGGTCCCAACTACCAAGAAGGTCTTCGTGCTATGCGCCAACTTGGAGAGACTCTCGGTGTTGATATCAACGTCTTCGGTCCCGAAACCCATATCACCGAAATCGTTCCCCTTGCTCTTATTGGCCAACCTTCCGGTTCCAACACCAACCAGCAGTCACTCGGAAACTCCGGTAACTTGTTCCAAGATCAGATCTTCGGTAACAACAATGCCACCAATGGTCAACAAGCTTCCAAGCTTGCCATCGCTGAAGAGACTGCCCCCTCCACTCCCGTTGAGCGCACCGTCGAGGAAGAACAACAGAAGAACAACCGTTTCTCTCCTTTCAGCAACAAGACCCGTTCCTTCATCTATGGCATGCAACCTCGTGCCGTCCAAGGTATGTTGGATTTCGACTTCATGTGCAAGCGTGATGGTCCCTCCGTTGCCGCCATGGTCTACCCCTTCGGTGGTCCCCACGTCCAGAAGTTCTACTGGGGTACCAAGGAAACTTTGATTCCTGTCTTCACCTCCCTCAAGGATGCCGTTGAGAAGTTCCCTGATGTCGACACCGTTGTCAACTTTGCTTCTTGCCGTTCCGTCTACTCTTCTACCAATGAAATCTTCGAGTTCTCTGACAACATCAAGACCGTCTCTATCATTGCTGAAGGTGTTCCTGAACGTCGTGCTCGTCAAATCTTGCACGAGGCTGAGAAGCGCAATGTCCTCATCATTGGACCTGCTACTGTTGGTGGTATCAAGCCTGGTTGCTTCAAGATCGGTAACACTGGTGGTATGATGGATAACATTGTCGCCTCCAAGCTCTACCGTCCCGGTTCCGTTGCCTATGTCTCCAAGTCTGGTGGTATGTCCAACGAATTGAACAACATCATCTCTCGTCACACCGATGGTGTCTACGAAGGTGTTGCTATTGGTGGTGATCGTTACCCTGGTTCCACCTTCATCGATCACTTGCTTCGTTATGAACAAGACCCTAACTGTAAGATGCTTGTCCTTCTTGGTGAAGTTGGTGGTGTTGAGGAATACCGTGTTGTTGAGGCTGTCCGCAACGGTACCATCAAGAAGCCTGTTGTCGCCTGGGCTATTGGTACTTGCGCCAAGATGTTCACCACTGATGTTCAATTCGGTCACGCTGGTGCTCTTGCCAACTCTGATCTCGAGACTGCTGATGCTAAGAACAAGGCTATGCGTGCTGCTGGTATCATTGTTCCCGAAACCTTCGAGAAGCTTCCTATCGTTCTCGAAGAGGCTTACCAAAAGTTGGTTGCCAGCGGTGTCATCGTTCCCAATGCTGAGCCTGAGGTTCCCAAGATCCCCATTGATTACTCCTGGGCTCAAGAACTTGGCCTTGTTCGTAAGCCTGCCAGCTTCGTCTCCACCATCACTGATGATCGTGGTCAAGAACTCTTGTACGCTGGTATGAGAATCTCTGATGTCTTCAAGGAGGATATTGGTATTGGTGGTGTCTTGTCTCTCTTGTGGTTCAAGCGCAGACTTCCCGACTATGCTTGCCGTTTCATTGAAATGGTTCTCATGATGACTGCCGATCACGGTCCCGCCGTCTCCGGTGTAAGTAGAATATGACAGTGTGGGGAGTTTAAATGATAATAAGGGGAGTAAATGCTAAACAATCTACCTTTTCTTTTTTTTATCTTTCAGGCTATGACTACCATTATCACTACTCGTGCTGGAAAGGACTTGATTTCTTCCCTCGTCGCTGGTCTCTTGACCATTGGTGAGCGTTTCGGTGGTGCTCTTGATGGTGCTGCTCGTGAATTCACCAAGGCTTATGACAGTGGTTTGACTCCCCGTGAGTTCGTCACTCAACAGCGTAAGGCTAACAAGTTGATTCCTGGTATTGGACACAAGATCAAGTCTCGCACCAACCCCGATTTGCGTGTCGAGCTTGTCAAGGACTTTGTCAAGAAGAACTTCCCCTCTACCCCCATCTTGGACTATGCCCTCAAGGTCGAAGAAATCACCACCTCCAAGAAGGACAACTTGATCTTGAACGTTGACGGTTGTATTGCTGTCTCTGTTGTCGATTTGCTCAGAGAGTCTGGTGCCTTCTCTCGTGAGGAGAGCGAGGAATACTTGCGCATCGGTACCTTGAACGGTCTTTTCGTCCTTGGTCGTTCCATTGGTTTCATTGGTCACCACTTGGATCAGAAGCGTCTCAAGCAAGGTCTTTACAGACACGGTTGGGATGATATCTCATACCAAATCAAGGATCTCGAGCCTCGTCGTGTTATGGTCCAGGAGAGCAAGGAGTAAATTTTCTCAACCCCCCTCATCAATGATCTCTTTACTTTAGGAAATATTTTTGTTTAATTCTTCTGTCATTCCCACTCTTTCCTTCAGTTTGTGAACCTGCACATATCATTCTAGATTCCGTCGTCGTCGTTCTTTTTTGAGCAATTATTTTTCTCTTTTCACTTTATAATGTATAATACAAAAACAAAGAATCCAATATCAACCCGTCGTGTTTGCACATGTAGCTTCACTACAACTCACTATACCCACTATCGGTTTCTTCGAAACATCCTCGCAACAAGAGTGCCGATGCAGCAAAGAGTAAGCCAAACGTGATACCTACGATGGATTTGCCGTTGCCTGTATCGGCTTGAATATGGGGAAACTCCAAGTTAAGGATCTGCTTGCCGTTATCATAAAGCATGGATACCAAGGTCAGAAGAATCATGGCCAGGGCTGCACCCAATAGGGCCAAAAAACCTCGTGCGTAAGCCTTGTCCTCGACTTTTTTGGTGGTGACTCGGGCTATGGCCACCAATGGGGCGCTGATAGAGCAGATCAAACAGAGGAAAGCAGCTGCGACAATTTGAGGGTTATGAAGAGGCGTAGCTGTGAATAATGGTTGGGTTGCTGGGTCCATAGTAATCTGATCAGCAAACATCTGTGGATAGGTAGCGTTGAACAGGTTCGCTGTAAAAGTATCTTCGGGAAAGAAGGGGTTAAATACATATCAGACGGTATAGAACGACAAGCAGGCGTGACCGTACCTATTGGGTATAAAATAACGTTGTCAAAATAACAGGCCGTCTGACCCGCTTGCACTATGCAATGGTACCGCCACCCATAGTACACATCGATAGCCCCACTTGTGAATTTCAAGAAGTAAATGCGGAGCATGCTTGGCGAGCTGCATGAGAACAGACAAAGGAAAATCAAGACGGCTGCAACTAAGCATAGAAATGCTGCAAACAGACTACGTCTGGACCTGGTCCTATAGAAGCGCATTTGGCCAGTGAAGGAGGGATGAAGAGAGGAATTGGCTGGTGAGGTAAGGATTAACGAAATAAGTAGCCACACAATTTTTTTTTTCTTCAATTTGCTGAGGTTCAGGCCATTTTTCCTTTTCTTGCTCTTTTTGACGGGTTCAGAAAAATATTGATCCTTCTCCGCTTCATGGCCGACTATCAAATTCAATGTTTGATTCTCCATAAAATACTCGAACAAGTGGATAGCCAAGTAGCTATGTAAATCGGCTATAGTCAAGGATTAACTTGATTTCGGTACGGTCTCACTGCCGATTACAAAGTTTGCAAACATTGATCGATAGTGCTTAAGAGCGGTTTTAACGCAAAGTTTTACTTGCAGCATATCCGCAAATAGGTGGTCCCAAATGTGCAATCGTTCGTCATCTTTATAAAGATTCGATGTGGATTAAACGACAAATTCTGTCCAGCTATGTATAAAGACTAATTGAAATGTTGACAACCTGTCGAATTCACTTCAAATTGATGTCTTCGTACTATTTTGGACTTGGGGATTTTATGAGTGGGTGAATGAGTGATGCTCGAGTGCATAGAGCACTATTGAAGAAAAGTAAGCATCTTTCATTAGAAAGGTACGCTGAGAAATCAAAAATCTTCTTACGCCAAACCTTTTTTCCAGTTCACAAAGCCATAGACGAATCAAATGATGCTAAGTTGTCGCACAAACGCTGATATTTCAACTCGATGGTGCGCACTCAGCCGCAGTGCTCCTCTCTTTTTCCCTCTGTCTCTCTTCCTTTTTCTATGCAATCTAACGATGCTTCTGGCCATGAAAAGGAAAGAGATGAAGTTCAGGCAACGGAAGGTGACCAGTTGATAAGCGATATCTCGAGTTCCTGTGAATTTGGCAGTGATGCTGAAGGCGAAAGTTTTATTCGCGCTCAGTGGTTTGATGAAGTAGTCAAGGCAGATACCGATAATATTAGAAGGTTACTGCAACTTGGTGCCGACATTGGCTGGGAGGATTTTGAAAAGAGGACTGCACTTTACCTGACTGTAAGAAGTGGACACAAAGAAGTAGTAGACCTGCTAATCGAGCATGGTGCGGCTGTTGACGCAAGAGACGAGGATTCAGATACCCCACTTCACTTGGCTGCAATGGAGGGACACAAAGATGTAGTAGACATGCTAATCAATCATGGTGCAACTGTTGACGCAAGAACTAAGATACTA